GTGACCCTCTGAAACACACGGCCACCTCTGGAATCTAGCTGCCAATGGCTTCACTGCTGGAAAAATAACTTTATAAGGAGCTGAGCTGATTTTTCCCTCAGCAGAGGATTTCCAGCAGCTCCTTGCGTGCTCCAGCTCTGAGCCCCTGACCAAGGCCGGCTCCTGAGCATTCCTATCGCTGTGGCTGCTGGAAGGGCACCGGGGAGAACATGGTGCTGTGGGAAGCTTCTGAAGGGCACTGAAGCCAGAACTCTCACCTGTTGTAAGAGCTGGTTGCTCTCCAGAGCTGGTAGGGGGAGTCAAAAGTCTGAGCGCTCCACAGCAGCTGCAGGTCAAATTCGATCCCTCCCAGGTGCTCTGGAGTCATTAAAAAAGACCTGACATCTGGCAGGCTGTGATGCTCCATGACAAAAAGCCCTGGAGGGGGAGGACAGGGAGGTGACAGGTAAGGCAGAGCACGGAGAGGCCCCATGCCATGCACCTCAGCACAGAGGGGCTCCTGGTGCAAAGGGGGACTCATTCTGCTGCCTGTGTTTTCACTGATTTTACTGGTTTTCGCCTCTGTCAGGGTCACTGCTCTCACCTCTGAACTTGGCCTGTGTCTTGAACTCGATAACCAGCCGGCCATCCTCGCGGATATAGATCCTGATGATCTGCAGCCGGGCCGAGAGCACGCTGTCCGTCTGGATCCCTGCAGGGACAGAGGCACTGGGGAGCACACACAGCACAGCCACTCCACGGGTGGGCTCTGCAAGCCCCAGAAGCGTTTGGGAGGGCTCCAGAAGGCATAGTTTAATTGGGATCATCCTCCAGTGAGCCAGCTATAGACTTCCTCCATTATCCATGTGCCGCCTAAGTCTCCCCCGGGCATAAAGAAAGTAAGTATTCTGAGTTCCCCCCATCTGTGAGAGCCAGTGGAGCGTGACTGCAGCCGCCACATAAGTACCCCTGAAAAGTGTCCAAGAAATCACTCCAAACATCCCACAGGGCTCTGATGAAGAGAGGTGTCTTTTCCTGCAGTGCCAACTGCGCCCATGAGCAGAGGGGCTGGGGGAACATGGCTAAGCTGGCACAGGGGCAGGCCTGCCTGGACTCAGCCTGCACACCCTTTCCCTCAGTGGCAGTGCAGAAACTAAGGAAAAGGACAAACCAAGGAGGAGCCAATACTCCTGCAGCCCTCGGACTGCCTCGGGCTTACCTGTCCTCCAGAGAACAGTGTCGTAGAAGAAGGAGAACTCCATCTCTGTGTGATGCTCCAGGGAAGCCCAACCTCTCGGTGCCGTCACGTAGATATAGGACACATAGAGAGGGACGTGGACTGTCAGGAAGGACTGAGCAGAGTCCCGCACCTGGCAAAAAAACCCGAAAAAGGGCATTATGCACCTTCCAAATGAAGGCAGAGGTGACTGAATGTTCTTCACCTTATTGTAGGTACTTCAGACAAACCTGTGTTCAAATCAGGGTCAGGGCTAAGGCTCGTTGGTGCCGTGGGACAAAGGAGCTGTGGGGACAATCTCACCTCAAACCCCCCCAGTTTCCAAGGCTGTGAATTAAAATTCAGCAATTCTGCTTGCTCAGGCCTCCCCCAGGTCTCCAATTGTTATCTGCAGAGTGCAGCTGCACTCTGCAAGCCCCAGAGAGTTCAGGGAGACATTCCAGCCTGGCTGGTGCCAGGCTCCACCGGGCAGTTGTTCAGGCCAAGTAGCTTCTCTGGATTTGTGCAAATAATTGGAGCTATAAAAGGAAAGTTAACAAAGTATTCCAGGCTGGCAGGAATTAAAAGGGATTATGCTGGCCATAACATTCTGACTGGGAATTTAATGCAAGAGCCTAAGGATGATGAGATCCTCACTGGAGTGGGATGTATATGGATAATCCAGCCATGAGAGGGCAGTGAGACACATTGAATAGTGAAAGCTATTAATTTATAGAGCGTTTCTGGCTTTTGCTCTGCCAGTCTGCTAATTAAGAAACGAGTTTAAAAAATCCCATGACCTCACTCTGCTGTGGATCATACACTGATCCGTCTCTGCTCTGTCCTTTGCTCATTTCTATCGGGTGAGAACACGGTCAAAATTGTAAAAGACTAGAGCCCAGTTGGGGATGTTTTGTATTTCCAGTACAGCTTTCTATTAAAAAAAAAAAAATATTTTGCTGATGCTCTGAAGATTAAGAGAATAAAACCTAGGTTAACCTAAGGAAAAGAAATTAATTAAATGCACACAGCACTTTTCTTTCCCAGGTGAAAGGAGGGAAAAGCCACGATCTGGTTGTACAGAGCAGCAACTACTGCTTGAGCACAAAATCTAACAACAGAGGAGGATCTGGGTTACGTGGAACAGCTTTGGATGTGGCCTCCCACCTGGAAGTCAGCGGTGACTGAGCCTCCGCAGACATCAATTAGTTCAGTCATGTCGTAATAAGCATCAAAGGTCCAAATGCAGCTCTTGAGGTTGAGGTGCTGGTAGAGCTGGATCGTCTTGGGCTCCCTCACCGCGGGGTCCAGCTGGTAAGGGCGGTCATAGCCCGGGCCCAGGATGAAGCTGTCGTGGGTCACTTCGTCCAGGAACCCTGCCTCTGGGATGGAGAGACATCAGGACACTGATCCCTCCGCATTTTAAAGAGCCTGAGGTCTCATTTGCACTCTTGAATCATGGGAGCTCCTCTCCCTTGGCTATCCTGGAGGTCAAACTGAATACACACAGGTCTTCACAGGGGAAAAATGTTATAGGAACAGGGTAAGAATCCTAAAAATCCAACTTATGGACCTATTCATTCAAGTTGAAGTTAACCTTTAAGATATGAGGAACAGCTTGAGTATGGAATTATCAGAATGAAGTACAACCCACTGCCCACCACGGAACAAGCATGGATCTCATTCCCTGGAGTGTCAGACACACAATCTGCCTGTTTTTTTCCAGCAGTGAATTTATTTTGCTGCTTCTTGGTGCCTTGTGGGAGACCTCAGTGATGCAGACACAGCGATCCAACCCCGCAGCTCCCTCTCTAACCATGTGGATATCACAAGAGAGATTTGAAAAGCAGAAAATCACAATCTCCTCAAACAGAGCAATGTTTAAACATTCCCACACATGGAATCTCATCTCCAAGGGGGCAGCTCTGGTCACCGCTGTTAGTACAAGAAGATTAATTATTATTTACATGATGTCAGGAGAGCCCAGAGGAAGACAAAGCCACCTCCTCTGCATTTCTTTCCTGGTTTCTACATTCAAGAAGCAAAGTTCAAGGTTACCTGAGATGCCTCTGAGGTCTCTGACAGTGACCAGGTTGGAGCAGACGTGCTGGTGCCTGTAGATGGACTCGGAGAGAAGGAAATGCAGGTTGTGCAGCGGGAGGGTGGAGATGAGGGGCAGCATCCCATCCTGGTGGGGGATCTGCACCGAGATGTGGATCCTGGAACAAGCAGCACATGAGACAGCAGAAGAGAGCAGCCCTGGCAGGCACAGGAGCCTCATGCATCCCCCACAACCCACAGCAGCACAGCCCTGATGTTTAGTTTCAGTCACGTGAGCCTGATGTTTAGTTTCAGCTACACATCTGCTCCTTAAGCATTCCACTAGCTCCCAATTCCTGAGGGGAAGGGAGAGTGGGAGTACTACCCTGAGCACTCCACGCTGCAGAAGGGATGTGGTTTCACACACACACATTGTCCTCGTGATCCCAGGCACCTCTGTAACCCCGGGGGTGCTGGTGAAGGCCTGCAGCCCTCACTTCTCCAGGCTCATACCTGTTGGGATGCTCCTTGTGCTTGACATCCAGGTACTTGAGCGTGGCAACGAATGACTGTGCCTGGAACCCTCTGGCCGTCCCTGCCACCACAGGAGTGTGACAAATGGCACTGTCTGTGCCTATGATCACCACGTTGCTCCTCAGGGGGGTCCCCACGTGGCCAGCCTTGTCCACAGCCTTGGCCACACAGCGCACGTGGAACCGCCTGCTGAAGTAAATGCTGTCCAGCACCTGGGGGAGCGAGGAGGGAGAAACAAGTGGTGCTTTCAGCAGGCTCAGGGAATAACAGTGCTAAAAAAACAAACAAAAAGAAATCCCCAAAGAAGCAGCACACCAAGTCCCACACCCGAGGAGACTGTATGCTTTCATCTCCACGCTCCCGCCGCTCCGCCGTGCCGGTACCTTGTGGTTCACACTGGTGAAGGGGGTGTTGTCAGTGATGGTCTCGAAAGGCGACCTGGCTCCGTTCCCATCCGTGGGAGCTGCCACTTCCCAGCTGAACTGTATCGAAGACTGGTTGATCCCGGCCTCGCCGCAGCGCTCCCTCATGACGGTGTACTTGGGGAAGTGAGGGTCACAGGGGGTGACACAGATGAGGGGGTAACCCGGGGAAGGGGATTTCTTAGCACCCTCCTTGGTCACTTCTTCCACCCGGTCGTAGTCAGCCAGGGTGACAACCTGCAGGGATGCAAGATGGCAGCACTCACCTGGGGCTGATGGAGGGGATGGAAAAAGCCGTCCTTCCCTTCCACCCCGTCACTGCAGCTCTTCATTTAATTCGATTTAATTTATTCCATTTCATTTCATTTCAGTCTGTACTTGAAGGGCTCTAAATCACATCTGCTGCAACAAGCGACTCACCACTGGAGGTGCTGGGAGAATCAGGCTCCCTGCTGCCTCCTGATCCAAAATAGTCACTGTTGCAGTGCTGGTGTCTCCAAGAACTGCTTCCACCGGATCATCTGGGCCCAGCACCACAGAAAAGGACTCGTGCCATTCCCGGTCTTCATTGGACATGATCTCCACCTTAAAGACGATGTGGCTCACACCTGGGTGAGGGAATGCAAGAAAAACAGAGAAAACTTGATTCATCATCAGAGACTGCTCTGAAGTTCTTGTGAGAACCCTGCAAAGCTGCTGCTCCAGGCTGTGGCTGTGGAGACATTATGATAAAATATGTATTATAAATTTTATTGCCACTCATTGCTGCTAATACTTTAGCCTTGACTCCACAGGAGTCTGCTCTAGACATAAAACTCCAGCTATGACAACTGATCCAATCGATAGATTTACTAGCAGATGCCATCTGAGGATTAATAATGGCTGTCTTGTAGCTGTCTGGACTAAAAATCTAGGATGCAAAGCACATTCCCACCCCTGCTCTCTCTCACACCAGTAGTGCGCAGAGCTGTTTGGTGAAGGCTTCTTGGTCCAGCAACATGCTCTGACCTGTTCCTAACAACTCTGTGTTGACACTTACACCCTCTGAGGATGACTTTACCCTCGCCTGCCAGGTGCCAGTGCTTCCTCCTCTGGTCTGGTCACCCTCCATTAAACACGTCAGCTATTTTGTATAACAATATTACAGCAGCCAGAAGAGGAAGGGGAAAAGGACACATCTAGTGTGAGGAAAGGGGAAAAATTTTGCACCCCACCTGTAACACACTGAAGAGCTGGACAGGTCTTTCTTCCCACAAAGACTGTGCCGAGCCCAAGAGCAAACCCCAAATCAAATTTAACACCCAAAACCTAAGGACATATTCTACCTTCTTACAGTCACTGGGAGAAGTTATACTGGTGTTGTGCCGTAAACCTCACGCGACAACTGGCATTTTCCAAAGCTCCTGAACGTTCTGATGTGCACAAAATGTCCCTGGTCACGCACCCACCTCTCGCCCTCCCTCCCAGGACCCTTTACCTGGGCTGAACTTGAGCATTCGACTCTTGGGATAGTAATCCACGCCGGCCTGGGCGGAGCCGTCCCGGGTGCTGCAGCGCACTTTGGAGGTCCTGTTCTGGTCCCCTCTCCGGACCACCCTGATGTTCAGCACGGCTACACCCTCCGGGCCCGGCGGCTCCCGCACTTGGTACGCGGCTTCTTCGAACTCGATGGTGGGGGCTGAAGGAAGAGCAGTGGAGAAAAAGCCCCAGGTTTGCACACCTGACTGATCCCAGGTGGAGGACACTCAGCACCTGCGGTGAGAGAAGCTCAGCTCCTTTTAGACTCATCTACACACCCTCAGAGCAAGGGGCTCCTCAAAGTGGGGGTCAAAATGGGTTGAGTGTGATTTAGGGCAAAATCCAACAAGTGTATTGAGCTACAGTGGATGGCAAATTATTCTCCTGTCCCCGCCTCCCGCTGAACCACAGGCCCTCCAATCCATGCCGTGTGCTGGTGCTGCAGTCACAGCAGAGGAGCCTGCCACCCCCTTTTTCTGCACAGATCTCTCCAGGCTATGACGCTGTGCAGGGGAAGCACAGCAACTCCCCATGGAACTGCAGGGGAATGGGAAACAGGACAAACAGTGGGTTCAGGGACTGTTATTCACCCCTCCCTTCAGCCCAGCCCAGTGCACACCACTGACCTGCACACAGAGCTGTGACTGGCGCCAAAGGCATACATGTTTGCCAAACTGAACCCAGAACTGTTGCTGGGACTGTGCTGACTCCCTCAGAACCACAACAACATCCTTGCTGAGCATCTTCCCTTACCATCTTCATCATTGGTGACAGTTATGGTTGTCATGTCCACCTTCCCAATCCTAGCTCCGCTCCAATGGTTTCCAAGGGGGCTGCCGAGATAAACCTGGAACTGCTCTTCTGGTTCAAAGGCAGAATCGTCACTGACATAAACACTGCAGTTCTTCACCTAAGGCCAAGTAAAGAAGAGAAAACAGCAAATACTGATAAATCCAATGAAGCCATGCAAAGGCCAGGCTGTACTTCCCTATCCAGGGTTTCATGTCTGAGTGCTGTCCATCTGGAAGAAACACTTTTATTTTCAGGGATGTTGCTTCAGTGTGGACAAACCCCACTGTCACATGATGAGACACAGCAGTGAAGGCCCCTCCTTCCACAAGCCCACAGCTCTCTGCTACAACAACCCTTTTAACACACAGGATTTGCATTTTATGACTTAACCAGTTTAATCACGAAACAAACAACCCCTTCACTGTCAGGTCATATTGCCAGGACAAGAATTTGTGTCATCTATGAGACCAGTTTGGACAGCCTCTGTCAGCTCCCTCTGGCGATGCAGAGTCGAAGAGGAGATCTGAGCCTCTCCAAGCCACGTCTGTTTTATTCCCCCCCCAAGCCAGGTTCTTGGGCCAAGCTCACCTTCTCCCCTTTCAAGAAAGTGATGCGAGACTCCTCCGCGTTCCTCCTCTCCATGAAATCCTCCATGACCTGCGCTGTCTGGCTCCGGGTGTAGCACCTGACAGAGGACTCATAGCTCAGGTCCCCGGTGCGGAATATGGGAATGTGCAGAGTCCCCTGCTTTTCCTTCACCGTGTAGGTGTCCTTGATGAACTGCATGCTGGGCACTGCAGCGGGTCATAAAAAGAGCCAGGCAGTGCTGAAGCTCCACAGAGAGCCAAGAGGCTGGGATGGACCAGATGGAGATGCCAGGAGTAACTTACCATCTTGGAAGATGTCACTGATGGCCACGATGGCTTGGAACGGCTTTGCCAGCTCGGCTCCGTGGGGTGAGCTGAGATAAACAACAAATGTCTCCAGCCCTTCTATCACTGGGTACTGTGCGTCGTCCAGGATTGTCAGGGGGCAGAACTGGGAGGAAGGCAGAAGTCCTGCTGTTAGGGGTGCAAAGATTTCATCCTTCCCAGCACTCATATTTGGAGGTCTAATGTAAAGCCATTATGTCAGGCATATCATGGCAGATATGCACAGAAAGACTGCAGAAGCGTCATCAGACAGAGCAGACTCATCAGGAGTCCAAGCGGCTCCTCACCTCTTCGGTCTTGCCTGGCCTGAACTCTATTTTCCTGGAGCTGGGGACATAATCAACTCCCGGGCTGGCAGATGGAGGGTCTGATGTCCGAGTGGCACACCACACAGAGGTGGGGGTTGAGAGATCAGGTCCCTGGCGGAGGACTGGAATCTCAATGTTTCCTGCATCACCAATTGCACGCAAGAGAGAACAAGGTGAGAAAGCAGCCAGGTACACACCATAAAACCACTCCTTTCCCTTTAGCACCCCCTTCTCCTTTCACTACTGCTCCTGCTCCCGGCCCTCCTCACAGGGGCAGAAGGAATCACAGAACCCCTCTGCATATCTCGGACAGGTGTGTTTCTGTGGAAGCCCCCGCTACCATTCACCTGCAGCCTCGCTGACGGTGAAGGTGGCGTTGCCCAGGAACACCGTGGAGGCATCGTTGGGACCAGTGATGAAGACGGTGGCTGAAGCCCGGCTGCCGACACGGGCGTTGTCTGAGGCATCGGCCAGTACGATCTCGAACTCCTCTTCCTCTTCGTATTCACTGTCATCGATCAGCATCACGTCACAGGTCACCACGGTCACACCCGGCCCAAAAACGATCCGGTTCTCATCCGCCATCCCCCGGGACTTGAAGTCAGAGCCGGATTCCAGCATATAAAGGCTGCTTCCCGTGGCGGACTTGGGGACGGTGTAGCAGATGGCAGACACGGTGCTGCTGGTATCCCCTAGGAAGCAGCAGAAAAAACCTCATAATTCTATGGAAATACTTTTCTTCTATTTCGTGGAGAACTCTGCCCTCTGCCACTGTCCCTCCCGTGGGGCTCCCTCCTGGCTCGACCCACCTTTCCTCTCAACAGGAGCTGAGAGGAACCCAGTGCTCTCGCTGACGTGGAATGTCCTCCTGTCGAACTGCAGCGTGGGCTCGTCCTCGGGGTCGGCGATGGTGACGGTGGCCCGGGTGACATTCCCCAGCAGAGCATAGGCCGGCATGCTGAGCTCCACAGAAAAGCTCTCCGTGCCCTCAAAGATGTCATCGTCATTGATAACGACGGTGCAGGCCTTGGTGTCCTCCCGCTCCTCAAACTGGACCTGGAAGGCAGGAAGCCGGCTGCTCTCCTTGGACTGGGGTCTGCAACGTCCTCGGTGTTTTTATCACTTTTCATCAGTTCTTTGCTCCAGGCCTGAGGGCAGGTATGGTCAGACCGTCCCCTTCCCGGTGTCCCCGGCCTACCTGCCCCGCATACTCCACGTAGTCCTGCTGTCCCGGCTGTGATCCGGAGCCGCCGGTGGCTGTTCCCTGCTCGGTGCGGCACAGGACAATGGCGTACTGGTTGAGGTTCCCCACCCGCCTCACGGTGACGCTCACGGAGCCGGAGCTCTCTCTGACCTTGTAGCTGCAAAGGGACCAAGCAGATACAAATAACAGGCTGAGCAGCAAACCCTGTGTGCTTATGTGATACTGAGCACCACGGACTCAGGGTGAGCGTGGCCTCCATGGAAAATCCGAGGGACACTAATAACCAGGGACTTGGGCAGAGGGCAGCCGCTCCGTGCTTTAGCCCAGCAGGCCCCTCTCCTCATGGACAGAATTTCATTCCCACATTGCAGGGCCCAATCACACTTACCTGGTGTGTGTAAAGCTGAGGAGAGACCACTGAATGTGGAAGACATTGCCACTGACCACGTTGGGTTTGCTGTCCTTCACTAGGAACTGAAAGCTGTCCGAGGTCTCCTGAGCCTTCTCCTCATGCATCACGTACCAAATGAGGCCCTGGTTCACCTCCTCTGCCAGGAGGAGACATCCAGTGAGCCAGCACAGAAATCCAACGGCAGTTTTATAAATCACCGCAAGGATCGGGGGTCTCCACAGGAGGCAGTTACCCCCTCACGTCCCTTCCTGTTGGAGGGCCCCTCAGCCCTGCGAGAGTGAACTTTCCACACATTGCTCTGCACTGCTGGCTACACATCTACCAGACCTTGTGAGGATCTACAACTCTTCTTTACTGTCCCAAGTCAAATCTCCAGCTCTAACAAGTCTGGAGAACCTGGGTGTGCTACAGGACACAGGTTGGCATCTTTTAAGAAATCGCAAGATTTCTGCAACTGAGAGGAAAGCCCAACGCTTATCTTCTACACACTTTGGAGATTTGCCCCTTGTCTTCTCCCTTCCCACCTTTTCTTTTTCCTTAACATAATGAAGGAAAAAAGCAGCAGGACACAGCCCAGCTCCATACCCTGTGTGAAGGTGGTCACAGCTGTCCCTGGCTTCAGCTTGTGCTCCACATGACCATTTCTGGGACCAGCTGTTATCTCGTAGATCAGCTGTTTGTCATCTGTGTCAGGATCTGTCACCAGTAATTCCTTCTTAGTGATGAGGTTGGTTGCCTGGATTAAAGCCAAACCAAGGGAGTAAAACTCTGGAGCTCCAGCAGTACAAGCCTGCTTGACTGTTCACACAAAAATCCTAACCATCCCTCTGTCAAACTGTTCTCCGTGAGGGCAAATCTAAGGATGTGAAAGCAGGGAGCAGTGTGAACAGACAGATACCCCACAAGGCATTTGACAGTGCAGGAAGAATTCAGATTTTGCCTCACATCTGGCGTGTTTAATAAAAAAAATCAATGTGTGCCTCAAAGAAAAGCAGATCCAGAAGCAGTTGCCCAGCCCTGTGTAGCTGGGGCTAAAAGCTAGGACAAAGCTTTTGGTTTCACCTGAAAACCTCTGCTCCGTGAACTGTGCCGATGCTCAGGTGAGGCCTGGCTTTGCCAAAAGCATTTGCAAACAGCCTCAAGTTGAAGAACTTGCTCAGGACAGTTCAAGCTGCTCTGGGGAGCCTTCACTAGGGCCTCTTTCAAATGTCCTCACGTGGATCTGACTCGGTTACACCACATTTTGCTTTCTCTTCTAAAAGAAAATGCCTTTAACAGCAGGAGAGAGAACTGAACTGCCCGAGGCTGCACAGGAGTGCTTTTCCTTAACTCAGGAATTTGAGCTGAGATAGCCACTTCTTAATACAATTTCTTACTGCAGTGTCTTCCAACCTTTTTCCTTAGGAAGAACCAAAGTGTTTCTTTGCAGTTCATGCTGGGTCCTCAGAAACAAGCCGAGAGAGACAGTTTCCTGGGGTTTTGTTTGGACTTCAGCAAAACAAAGGCACGCCACAGCAAGAAATCCCTACACCATATCCTTGGAAAGCCATGTATCTCTGCCATGGCTGCTGCAGAACATCATCAAGACTTCTCCACCATCAGCAAAGCTGAAAATATACGCTGGGGTGGAGGGATTTTCTCTATCACAAAAATAAGACTGCTGAGGGATCAGGACGTTTACCTGCGAAGCTCCTTCCCCCAAAACAGCCTAAGAAACAATCCAAGCTGAGCTCAGACAGGCGGTTACCTTGCCATCCCTGTGCTCCAGCCACTGCAAACCCAGGTTGGTGACCACCTTGGGTGTCCCGTCATCCACAGGGAGAATGTCCACTTGGAAGTGCTGCGGTGCTGCTGTCACGACCTGACAGAAGTTCAGTGAGACAGACGTTACTCTGGGAGTCAGCACCTCATCCACCCAGGCGGATCGAGGTCTCCCTCACACCCCATCTCCCGCCCTTACCTTCTTCCCCCCGTCCTCCACCAGGAAGAAGGGGTTGGTGCCGTCGGACACGGTGAAGGTGAAGCGGTCCCTGAGGGAGTTGCTGCCGTCGTGGCTGTAGCTGATGCGGTTCTGGTAGATGTCCCCCATGGTGAAGGTGGTGGCCTGCTGGTGGCGCTGCCCGCTGGTGCTGCTGCGCTCGATCAGCCCGTGCCGGGGCGGCTGCACCACTGTGAACGTGACCGACTCCACCTGCGCCGAGGACACGGAGAGGCAAAGCTCGGGATGTGGCCTCAGCACCAGGACAGGCGTGTCCTTCCAGCCGGGAGAGGGGCTCCCTGCCCAGACAGCTTCCCTAGCGCAGTGTCCCCAGCCAGGCCTAATGCAGCCCCACACACCAAACGGGTTCCCCCTGAGCCCTGCCCTGTTCTTCATCCCTCTCCCGAGGTGGTTCTCTACAAATCATCACACCAAACTACTGGTTTGGCTGGTCTGAGACGGCTCCCAGCCCTGTGACGGCTCTGTGAACGCAAGAGCAGCCCCCCCATCCCGCAGCCATTCCAGGCAACGTGTCCCTTGCCACTTCTGCCGGTGCAGAAGCAGCAAAACCCCTTAGGGCAGGATTTTGGCTCAGGGCACTAACAGGCAGCCAGGAGAGCTCTTACTGCAGGGAAGCAGCAGTGAAGTAGAGCCAGCCCTTCAGCCAGACCCAGGAGGTGGAAGAGGAAATGTCATTGGCATCTATGCTGGGCATAAACTCAGTGTCAAGGCCAGGCCTAAGTCTTCAAACACAAGCCCATTTTCCTGACAGCCCAGATGTGCAGCAGGAGAGGGGAGGGAGGAGGCACGGGGGACTCCTGCCTTACCTCTGTGTCAGCATCTGTTGCTTTAAGCTCAAACTCGGTGATGGTTTTTCTCACTCCTTCCTGAACTGTCATCCCGAGGCTTTGCACTATGGGTAAGGAGTCATCCACGGGGTTTATGGTGATGTCAAATGTCTGGCTCACCTGGAATAAAAGGAGAAAGCTCTTGTGATGAATTCAGCCCTCCAAGAGTACAACTCCACTGCAAGACCAGTGATCCCCAGTTTGGGTCACTTATTTCAGCCCTGTCTAGTGAGTACATCTGAGTTTCTAAGCCCAGATCATGTGAACGTGACCTTTTCTATCCCTCCCCACTAATTAGTTCTCCCTCTTTCTGTGGTATTTATGGGCATCCACTTTCCCTCCCTCTCTCACTCTACTTTGCCCCTCTCCCTCTATGTGCAGCTATGATTTTCCTCTTTTTCTGAAAGTAGGAAGGAGACATTTCCCAAGGGTCTGACTGTCGTCACTACGTCGTCAGTGCACCGGATCAAAGCTGAGCTCCAGGAACAATTGGCAAGCAGCTGAAAACCAGACACTCAGATCTTGGTAAACCAGTCTCGGGAGGCCGCAGCGCAGGTGGCTCCCTGTTCCCTGCACAGGGCTCGCTTCTTTCCCTGTGGGATGGAGGAATTCTCAAAGCAGAAGTAAGAGCGGCCCTCTCTGTTCTTACTTGGGCAAAACCACGCTGGGACTCACCTCATTCATCCCATCAGACACAGAAAAGGTGAAGGCATCCATGTGCTTTTCCATGTCACTGGTGTGGATGTACTGGATGCTGCGAGAGGCCAAGTCTGCCTGGCTGAAGGAATTAATTCTCATCCCTGGAAAAAGAATAATAGGGAAAAACATATAATAGAAAGAACAAGACAGGGGAAAAAACAAGACAAAACTATAGGCAGCTGGACATATCTGATCTGTCCCGTGAACCTCATCTGAGCCAGGGTTTTAGCTGGCACAGAACTTCCTCAAAACTCCTTTGCAAAATCAAGTTCAGGTTTTTTCCCAGACTTATGAAGGCACCTCCCACTGTCAGGACACCCTGCTGGGGATGGGCCTCTGGGGGCTGAGGGGGAGAGAAGCTGGGAGAAAAATGGTTCATGTAACGCTTGGACTGTCACCGCTGGGCAGGACTAACCCAACCATGGCAACGCTGACTATGACCCAAAGGTCTCCTGGCCTCCCAGCAGTTTTCCAAAATGCCTTCCAAGCCTCTGCTCTCTCTGCCCTTCCTTGTACCCCTGCCTCTAGAAAGACTAAGGCCCATTTGCAACAGTGATTTATAGTGACATCTTTACAGGCCATTAGGTGTGACACAGCCACAGAGAGGGACATGACAAGCATTTTAAAAAGCACTTGAGCTTTTTAACTGTCACTGCTGGGTTTGACAGTTTTACTGCTGTTAACAACAACAAACACCCCGACAAAAAGTTTGCCACCAATCCATCACCCGAAATGGCTACTGACAAGTATAGGCCACACGACAAAAGATACCAGGATCCGGTACAAATAAATGAGCCAAACCATCATGATCAGCCAAGATTTCCTCAGAGCTCATGAGCTTTAAGGGTTTGGGTTCTCTTTTGAACACTCCAGTACTCTCTCCTTTAGGTTTAGGTCATTTAAATCACGAGAACAATTCCTCCCCAGTCTGTGACCCTCTGTCTTTCTCAGTCCATCACAGACAGGAAAAAGCACAGAAATCAGAATCATCACATTTTAAATAACAGGAGGAATAAAATCCTTAACCCAGGTCTCCAAAGTACAAGATTCACTGTTTAGTTTGCAGTTCAGACAAAAATACTGCAAGTTTTTCATTTACTCTCAGCAGGGGGTTTGCTTATTATAACTTTCATTCATTATTCCTGCCCTTTCAACGTGAGAGGATGAGGCAAACCACACATTAAAACTTAGCTGTACAGGGACTGCCTGTATCTTGAAAACACACGCAGCAGATAGTTCCACTTTAATCTCATGTTAATGAGAAATCTAATGCTAAAAAGAAATATAATCTTAGATGAGTATAATTAAATCAGAAGAGCATATTAAATGACAGCAGAGATTTAGATTGATTCATCAGAGAGGGGCAGCACACTCACACTGTCAGCAGGCACAGAAGGCAGCTCTAAAATTCAGATCACATTTGCAGGAGTTCCACAGGATTGAGCAATCCCCCTCTCTGAAGGACCAGAATTCATTATCCAGCATATCCATCACACCCCAACGGAGCTTCCTTTTAAACTAACTCCGTGGATAGTTCCCTTCCTCTCTCCAAGGCACAGCTAGGGAAAGAGGCTGGTTTTTAGGGATCAAGGAACATACTGGCCAAGAGGGTGACAGAACGGAAAACAAGTTGTCTGTTCCCCAAGGTGGGTTCTGTTTCCATGGACATTAAGGGGTGGATTCTTTGGGGCACTGTGCTATTCGCAGCAAAGGCTGAAAGCTTTCCTGTCACGCAGAAGCAGCAATAGGGGCATACATTCTCCCAGAGGCTGAATAAACCCTCACCTGTGATTCTCAGGCTGCCTTGCCTCCACTCACCTTATTCTCCAACTCTCTGGGCTAATGACCACATGATTCCTAACTGGAAACTGAACTCCGTGCTGCAGCCTCCAAGCACATTTTTCCTGCAGTGAATCTTTAGGGGTCAAAAGTCTCGCTGTTCCAAAGACCCGACGGAGTAAAACACTTCCCTGCTCACCTGGGGAGGCCACGTGCTCCAGGTGCCCCAGCTGTGGCTGCCGAGTGACCTTGTACAGGAGCTGGGTGGGTTCACTGTCCTGGTCAGTGGCCGAGAGCTGGAGGGTTGTGATTGTCTTTGCTGAGTTCTCGTCCAACACCAGCCCTTTGTTAGTGATGATGGAGGGGGGAAATCTGTCCTCTGGAAGGGTTAAATACAAAGGTGAGTTAGGAGGAATTGAGGGGATGGTAACACTAGAATGTCTCAAAGACAATCTAAACTGCATGAAGATATTAAGGGGAATTTTTCTGCCTGTTCAGTGAGTTTGTCAGAAGTCAGAGAACTAATCCTTACACCCTCAAACTCTCCCCAAGTCCCTCACTTCAAAGGCCTTTGAACTGACAGCGCATCAAAACTCCACCTCAAGAACTACATCTTCACTTGCCATCCACGTGGGATGGGAACCTGTGAAGTCGTGGGCTCTGCAGCAAAGAGAACATAACTTCAGCACTGTCTTTTACCTAACACCCGGATATGGAAAACCTGGTCCGTCAGTTCGTTGCCGTCTGCATCGATCACGTCAAAGGTGAAGGGGAAATTTCCGCCGGGATCCCCTTTCTTGTGGCTGTAAACCACTTGCCCTGGAGAGAGGAACAGGAGAAAAGAGGTGGTTTGTTACAGGCTGCATCATTTCATTCGTAGTTTGGAAGCAGGCACCATCAGCTGAGGGACTTTGGCCTTGACAGAGCTCCTGGATTTGGGTTTCATTACTTTCCCTCTTGATTCTTTTTCCCTGCTGAGAGAGACTTTTTAACATTTGCTTAATGACACGTTTTTCTGCTCTGCTCTAACAACCTTACTAAACTTCTTTCCCTCTGCCTTCCCTGCTTCAGGTCATCCTCCCCCTCTCAGTAAGGATCTCAGAATCACGGGCTATCTCAAGTTGGAGAGGACCCATAAAGGTTCAACTCCCCGCTCCTTGCAGGACTACCTAAACCAGCCACATATATTTGCACTGCCTATCTAAAATCCAGCACTCTCACCTTGGTTTATATCAGCCTGGGTGAAACTTTTGACGGGTCCTTTGGCGGAGATCTGGATTGGGTTATCAGTCTTGCTCAGCTGCAGATGGCCCCTGCTGGGATCACTCCTCAGGACAAATCTAAGTGGCGAGTCCCCTGAATAACCAGCTGCTGCTTTCAAGTGCTGAGCTGTGAGAGGAGCTGCAGAGCCTGCACCGGGGAGAGAAGTGCACAGTCAGCTTCAGCCAGCCCAGCAAAGCGACTGGTTTAGACTGGACTAGATCCAGCACTACCAAGCAATGCCATTCTCCTCATACCAGCTGGGAGCTGCAGGTCCCTGTTGACAGCTAATGTGGGTGGCTGCTTCTTGGGCAGCTCCAGGGAGAACTCCAGCTTCCCCGCCTGTGTGTAGAGCCCATCCGTGACGGAGAAGCCAAACTCGTCTGTGTGTGCTGCTGCACCGCTCCGGGTATAAACGATCAGCTCATCCAGAATGTCCTGGTAGGTGAAGGAAGAGCCCCTGGACAGCACATGCCCACGCTCCGGGGGCTCCGCCGTGCTCTGTCTCCTGCGGAGGTGACCTGGCAAAAACAGATGGATGAAATGATGGGGATAAGTCAGCCTGCTGGGGACACGAGCCTTCACTGACACCCTGCCTGGCTTTGCCACTGCATGGCAATGCCACCTGACTACAGGAAAGGGGGGAACACATAGGGAACTTCCCAGGGAAATGCATGAAGCCCCCTTTTCTCCTCCCACAAAGAATGAGGGACAACTCTCAAACAGGACTGTTCTGAAGCACAATCCCACGGCTGCTGGTCCAAATGTGCTTTAACCAACACGCCAGGCTCCTCTCTCACACTGGGGGCTGTTACACACGCAGGTAGGAACACACTGACGCAAAAAGACTCCCTCGCCCTCTCAGCTTGTCAGGACTTACCATGCTCAGGACTTTTGCTCACCACGATGACCAGCTCACTGTTCTGGGTGTCCAAGTCCTGCAGGTTGAGGGAGGCATTGGTGACAACCACTCTTGAACTCCCCTGCACTCGGACAGGCTTCAGCACCATCTTGGGGGGCTCATCATTCTGTCTCTGCACAAAGACACACAGCCAAAAAAGGGAAATGAACAGAGAGAAAAGGCCCACCTGAATGAAATATAAGTTCCCAAATAACAGCACTGGTGCTGACATCACCAGTCTGTCCAAATCTAGCCCAAGTGTAGTAAAGTTTGCACTTGCAAAGTGTCTGTGTGAAAGGAGAGGGCTCTGGCAGCCAGGGAGCACGGGTGTACCTGGATTGTGATGTTGATGCTCTGCACCTCAGACTGGCTGAAGCCATCGCTCACATAAAAGCTGAAAACATCACTCGTGGGCTCAATGCTTTCATGGACACTCTGGAAGTAGTAAATGCTGTTCTCCAGAACATCTTGAAGGGAAAAGGATGCGTCTGTGGTCCCAGCAGACTCGCTCTGTGGGCCAAAACTCTCACCTGCAAACCAGAAAATCACTAGTGAAGGGGTGTTCTGATAAACTAAACATAAAAGCATCAGGATTAGGAGAAGAATGGCACATGGTAAAGGCTGCAGAAGGATAGATGTTACTTCCTACAACATGGATTTCCACATCTTTGAGGAGAGCAAACTCTGCTGCATTAGAGTGGAAGCTGCCTTCGGGAAGCTGCAGTTTTAGGTGTGGCACAGGTGATCCCATCCACGGGATACGACAGGTATGATCCTGTTGGGACTACAAAGCAGCCAGCAGGAAGGGGAGAGAGCCAAGCAGTTTACCTGTCTTGGTGTTTTGGATGTAGCCGTACATAGGCAGAGTGACCACCGTGACCCTCAGGTCTTCCTTGGCAGCAGTATCATAACCAGCAGTTAAGTGGTGACCAGCCAGCAGTGGGATCCTGCCCCCCTCATCCACCTGGAAAGCAACAGCACACAACACAAATCCTTACTGGACAAGGCTGCCTCCGAGGAAAAGGCTTGCCCGGGTTCTGGAGCGCCGTCCCATCCTCCCCTAGATGTGTTAGGCAGGAAATCAGCTGGGAGGTGGGGTGGGATGGGAAGAACAAAGCCTGCCTGGCCCCCAAGAGGAGCCTGTGAGGGCTTTATCAGGGGAGGAAGGGAACTGGCAGTCACTCTGACCTCTTGGAAGGCAGGAAAACGCATTTCTGGCTGAGGAGAACCTTTTGAAGGCAAGGGAGGGGGAATGCAAAGCTGGAAAGGAGGGAGGTGGTTTCAAAAGGCATCGATATGCTTTGTGTGAAGTGCTGTCAGTCCAAAGCACCAGGTGTTTTCTGACCTTACACACAGGCTGGTGAAATAAGGGATGAAATATTGGACAGGGATAAGTCCAACTTGTTCCACTGATATCAACAGGACGCCCCAGGCAGAACCAGCTCCTGAGTGTAAGCGGAGGAGGTTCAGAGATGCAGGTGGACTGTCAGCCTACCCTGGCCTCCAAGTGACTTGTTAACCCTTTGCACTCATAGCACTGCATGTGCAGAACCCGATTTTTTCAGTGATTTCCCCCCTGGTCCAGGAAAACTGTCCAATTCCTCACTTCTAAGCCATTTTTCTCCCTGTTTCCAGTACCCAGGGCAGCCACTTACAGTGATGTGGTCAGCAAAAGCAATGAGAGATGGCAGGGTGTGGGCAGGTGTGATAGTGATGGTGAACATCTGCCTGTCCAGTCGGTTGTTGTCAGCATCAAGAACAGCGAAGTGGAAGATGTCCGTGACGGGCTGATTGCTGGTCTCAAACGTGGTGGAGTAGCTGTGGAATCAAACACAGCCCAGGTTAGAGAGTCCCACTGACAGTCAGGAAACTACACCCTGTCCCAGCAGTCAGAGGTGAGCACACACCTCCTGCAGGAGAGGTGGTATCTCAGTTCCCAACCCTCCCTCATGTTCATTCCCTGTATTCTTTTAAATCACTGGTTTAGGTGTTGCCTACCTAAAGGGTCACCATGACATCAGAGACACAAAAAAAATCCCCCTAATTTGAAGCTACACTAACCACTGGCATTTCAGACACGCAGAAATACCTAATTCTGCACACAGAAAATGCTCTTGTCCATAATCCCAGAGGAGACAAGAAAGGAAAAAATACCTTTGAAACATTGCACTAATGTAACATAGCCCAGAGATCCCTGGGGAAAACCCATGGAGCTTTTATGGCTTGAAGGAGAATAGCTCTTTGCTACCTGATCCTCTGGCTGTTGATGTCCTCCATGGTGAAATTATAAACCTTGGAAAGTTCTTCATCGTGGGAGCCTGACATCCGTAAGAGGGTTCCATATGCAGGCAGAGAGATCAGCTGGATTCTTATCTCCGAGTCGGGAGAATTGTTGTCCTGAACACGAAGGAACAAACCAAACCAAAACAGGCAAAATTAGCCATTGTTTTCCCCCACTAAAAATGGAAAGAGGAATAAGTGTTTTATAGGGAACTGCATCTGCATAGCTGGGTCAGATCCACGGATGACATAAACCTGGTATTTTCATTTTGAGAGTACTTCATGCTAAAATAAAAGCTGATTTTGCCTCTTTTCAACTACATTAAGTGCAACCACCTCTATGATATCACAACTCAGATGTCATCTATCCTGAAAAGAATTTTTGCTGGTTGGCTGAAAAACGAGACCCGAGCAGAAATCACCATATGGGTCAGGAATGAAATCCTCTTTTCCCTAACTGTTCTCTTACTGAGATGAAACCTGAACAACTCTCAGCCTTCCTCTTTTAAGAGGAGAACAGGACAGACCCCAGACTTTTACCCAGAGGGATCCCTTGGAAAAAGCATCCCCAGTCATCTCTCTGACAGCCACCACCTCAGATCTCTCCAGCCTCACACCTGCACTGCCATCTCAGACCCAAACCCCACTGTTAATGCACTGGCTGCCAAATCATCTGCAAGGAGTAAAGCACCTTTCCTGGGAATGTCACCAGTGGGATAACTCTTGTACAGCACACAACCCCTGGGACCAACTCAAGCCACCAAGCAGTGCAGCATCTTGGCCTGCCTAATCGTTCCCCCTTCAAATCTGCCCAGAGAAAGAACCAGGCAATTTTGGAAGATGGGTGAGGGGGTTGAAATTCTCTAAGGATTAACACTTTGCAAATCCATGTGCTTTATTAGCAAGTCTGTTTGATAGAAAAGTCTGGGATTAACTCTGTTCTCATGTTCAGCATAGCAGTTCACCTCTGTTACAGTCAAACGGGGATAGCCTTAAATCCCTGTGGGATGAAAGAGTCTGTTATCCCCCTTTTGGCAGCAGTGAAGACTCGGGCTCTCTACGCAGAATCCACGCTGACAGCAGGGAGCTGTGCGGTGAAGGGGCTGTAGGGGACAAGGGAAGGGAAACTGGCAGCATTCCCTGGGCTCAGGAGGAGATAAAAACTTACAGTGTAAGCGAGGTGCAGCCGAGAGAGAGTGACGGAGCCTTTACTGGCCACGGCGAGGGCCAGCAAGCAGCCCGGCACCAGCTGCGGGCCGTCGGTATCCAGCAGGGACACTTCCACCCTCAGCACCGTGCTGACAGTGGTGACGCCGTCGGTGACAGAGATTTCCATGCTGTCCTCTGCTGCTGCTGAGCCGTCGTGCACGTACTGCAGAGCGTTCCGAGTGACGTCCTCGTAGGTGAAGGTGTCGCCTTCCCAAAAGCAAACAGCACAAGTCAGGAAGACTCTGCTCAGAGCAGGAATCCAATCCGAACGACCTAAGGCCCCAATTTAGCAGAAGACTTAATCAAGTGCTAAACTGGCATTTAATCCCATCCTTACAGGGCTGTGAGTTATGAGGACATTCATTAAGGAGCTGGCAGGGCAGAGGAAAAGCTGTAAACTTCCCAGTTCCACAGACACAGTGACTCCTCCACATTCTCAGGGAGGGCACCGATCCTCCTTTCCTTCCCATCTGATTTCTGAGCTCATAGCTAAATAAGGCTTCCTTATGGATGCATCCATATCTGCCAGGGGCATCTGACTCTACTCCTGGTCAACTAAACCAGCCACGTGGACAGGCACACACTTGCACTGAGGCAAACTCCTACTCAGCTCACCTGCTCTCATGAGCTCCTGCACTCCTGCACTGTACTTGAGCACAAGGCCATGATGGGGAGGCTTCACCAGCTCAAAGAAAAGACCCTCGGGAGCTGTATCCGTGTCGCTCACAGCCAACTGGATCCCTGTGCCGGGGAAAGAGAGCGTGGCTTCAGCTTCCTCAGACGCTACGCTGGGAATATCCCTCAGGGTTTGTGATGTGTTATTGCGATTGGAGCCAAAACCCGTGTAATTCAGTCAGTACACGACAAGTAAAATAATTCTGGAGCTGCCCTAGGCCAAGAGTTGCTGGTTTCATGGAAATAATTAGTCCCCTGACGATGCCCAGATCAGAGGACTTTTTGCTACTGTGGCTCACAAGTGACCCCTGTGCAAACCCTCGGCTTAGGGGAGAGATGTGCAGATGTTCATAGAGCAAACCCCCAGAGAACCTCCTGAACCGAGCAGCAGCGGCTCATCCCAAACAACCCGGCCCCACACTCACCAATGGCGGCTCTGCCCCCCTGGCTGACCTCCAGGAACGGCGCCGCGATCTGGAAGACCGGAGGCTGCTGCTCTGCAGAGAGCAGGTGAATGACAAACACCATCTCTGGGGTTGTGTGTTCTCCATCGGACACTGCACACAGACAGAAACCAGGGCTGAGCGTTTTAGGGATGGGTTTGCAGGGACTCTCACACGGGAAATTCACCTTTCTGTACAAAACCACCACCCGACGTCGCTGACTTCTCTCCCACCTTTCCAAGCCACACCTTTGTCTATGGACACACAGTTCCCACCTGACAAGAGCATTTATCTTTGCCCCTAACTCAACTCCTCTAAAACTTCTGAAACTCTGTGTGTTTACATCCCGCCTCCCACAGACCTATCAGGTGTGCTCCTGAGTCAGAACATGCCAGAAAGCACACGGAAAGGGAGGGGTGTGTTAAACAAGCAAGTAGTTTACTGTGGCAATTTACTTGCAGAGAAGTGTCTCTACGCTGTATTAAAAAAACACAACAGCATAAAACTCCTTGTTCACACTGGGGGGAAACAGGAATGAATCAGGCTTTTAGGATGGATTCCAGAAAACCACTGGAAAAATATGTCTCCACTAAAGCTGCAGCTCAGCTTCTATAAAACACTGCTGTGACTCAGATGAATTAATATTCCCCAAGCACGTGTTTTTCCAGAAATTCCTACTGAGCACCCATAGGTGTGCCTGCAGCAGATGAAATGCCAAGGAGCAGCAGGCAATGGGAAGGGCAGATGGATAAAAACTGCTTTGGCCAGGAAGGAACAAGCGGTTCACGTACCTGTGAATCGGAAGTTCACGGACTCTGGGAGACCTGACGGGACAAACACAAGCACAGAGTCACCGTGGTCAGGACAGAAAGAGACTTTTGGAGAGAGCAGGTGCTGACATTCAGCCAGACAGGGGTCTCTCCTCCCCAGGGAGGAAGAGCAGCAGTCCAGCTCCCTGCAGCATGCCGGTAAGGCCCTACAAGGAACACGGGGACCCTCACCTGCGAAGGAGAAGGCGATGATCTCCCTGAGGTGAGGAGCTGCGGTGGGCGGGCGATAGGCGATCTTGCCATGGTTTATATCTGCCTGGGTGAAATACCTGACGGGGGACAGAGGCCTGTCCCTGTGCTCCACGATACCTACGGAGGCAGAGACACCAGTGTGAACAGGAGGAATCCACCTGATTCCACTGGGTGCAACTGGGGTTAAGGAAGGAGGTGTTTGGAAGCCAAGGAAGGAGGCTGAACAGATCAGCAGGTGCCTCCACAGGATGATACTCGAGGGAAAAATGTGCTGTGCCCAGGAAACATGGTTTACTGCCGTGTTCTGAACAGGTTCACTTGCCTTGGCCAGGAAGGAGAGGGACAGTCACGTTGAACAGGATTTTCTCACTGGGAACCTCCGGGTCTACAAAGGAGAGGTGATGGGGCTCAATCACTGTCACACGGTCCTCCAGCACCTCAACAAACACATCAGACCAAGAGCATCAAGGCCAGAGACAAGGGAAGGCTCACCCAAAAATGCATTGAAAGAGAACTGTTAAAGTTAAATAAAAGACAATCTATGAATGTAAAGGCCCAGTTCTTAAACCTAAAGCTGACACCTTGTCCCCTGCAGATGCACAACCTCCACACTCACGAGTGGACAGGTTTCTCTTCTGACCTAGAGCAACTAAAAAGAGAGAAAGGAAAACCTAGTTTGATCAAAACCTCCCTGGACAAAGATGTAAGTCATTGCCTACATAGTCTTCTGGTATAGTCTGATGTGGCTGGACTTGATTTTCTTTTAAGAGTAATCCTAAAAATTACTCAGTCTTTTCACTGGAATAGAGAGGAGCTTTTCCCCCTTTGTTTTAAACCTGTCTAAAACTGCTCTGATCCTTCCATAACAGGATTATTATGCCAAAGGCAGGCAGGGCGTTGCAGGAATTAGGGTGCTGCATGAAAAGACTTAGGTGCCCAAAAGTAATCAATTTGCATGTGTTCATGAACCTTAATCCTGCAGAATTAACAGCTCCAAGAAGTCGCTGAATTAAACAGCTCAGTGCGTATGAAAAGTATCCAGCTCATTTCATAATCCTGAGCAAAACAGGGAGAAAATGAGCTAAATTAAGGATACGGGCAATTAATTAATCCGCTTTGGAACATGAAAGGTTCAGGGACAGGAATAGAATCCTTTTACCCATAGGGGGGGAACAGGTAACTTTAAGAAAAAACAGTATCTATGTTATGTCCAGTTTAGCCACCAAAGAGTCACCAAACTTTTTCTGACCTTTCCCTGCAGGACAAGTCAAAGACCAGACTAGAGGGATGGGAAGACCTCACATATTGGAAGTCTAATTCTGAAGGAGTCTGAAGACAAATGAACAGAACTCCATCACATTGAGGCAAGGAAGTGCAATTTTATGATGGAAGGATTTAAGGTTATGGATGCTTCCCAGTTGCCTCCAAGGCCTATTTGTCTCTCCCAAAGGCAGGACCTGCAGGTGGCGAGGTAAAGTGTATTTTATGGCCCTATTGAATTTTGTGGTGTGTAATTAGCTATAAAACCCAGCTCCTCGTGGCTCTGCCAGACATCTCTCCCATCAATTCCGTCAATAATGACAACAGAAAGTCGGGAGCAGGAAGATACATTGCTCCAAGTAGCAGTCTGAGCGTGTTTTATTACTATGGGGAAGGTCACCGCTATTTTAAACCTTGCCAAGGTCATTGTGCCAGGGACTTTTCCCTCACCCCTCTCCCACCACCTCCTTTGGCCTTTCCTGGTCCTGCCTGGCATTCAAGAGACAGCAGGAGAAGAAGGGAAAGCTGGACTTCACCCTCATGTGATGGGGCCACACGGACAAGGCTTGCCCCAAAGCCTGAGCCCAACTTTAAACTTCAAGATCGCCTTTTCCATCAACACAGTCGAGACACTCATCACTTTCAATACCGAGTTTTTCAACTTTCCACGGGTATTTTCTCCACCCTCCCCACCATTTTCCCTCCTAACCTGTCCTGTTTGCCCATTCCTACTCCAGCTGTGTGGTGCATCACTTACAGCCATGTGCAAGGAGGAGCCCAGGGAAAGCTGAGGTGCTCTGGGTGTCTGGGGCAGAACAGCAACATTGAACACGTGGCTTTCCAAGGTGGTTTGTGGACTGGCAGAGCTGGACACCTGGGAGGGAAAGACCATGTGAATGGATACCTGACAAAACACTCCTGCAGTTCTACTGCACTTCATACTTTCCCTCTCCTTGTCTCCCGGTCTGGGAAGGCAAAGAGACACCTTTCCCTTTCCCGCTTCCCACCAGTCCCTGCCATAGATTTCCTGAGCCTTTCATCCCAGAAACAGCAAAAATAGTGGCTTTTTAAACCTTCCTCCTCCCCTCAAAATGAGATTGTGCTGACAAAAGTGAAAATAACTGGTCTCTTAATAGTGGCACTGCCTTGGCAGGGGCTCCCTGTGATTCCAACAGCTTCCACGGCAGGTTGTGTTTCACAGACCCATAAATATTTTCCATACACCGCTGTAACACCAAAAATGAAGGCAAGGGTATCTAACTCATAACTGCAGGTCTGCAGCGAAGACATGTAATGAATGACATGATTTTAGCCATCTGCTGCACGTGCTCTGTAACAATACTGACGAAAACAACGTGCTGGCCCTTTCTCAGACCGCCCAAGCCAGGGCTCAAGGCTTGGACAGGTGTGCCACGGTGTCCAGATGCGATCCCAGCAATCCCAGCTCCCTTTCTTAGCTCTCCATACAATCACTGCTCCTGCTCCGAGATACTAAACCCAAACATCCAACTCATGCAAAATGCATGGTCTATAAGAGGAACGCAGCAATTAAGCTAAAGATTAGCTTGTTCAACACTGACGCTCACAAATTCCTCATTATCACTTATGTTAATTACTTTAGAAATTACCTTAATTGCCTCTTCGGTGCTACAGTAATTGCTTCTGCCTTGTAAACCAGATGTAACAAACACCGAGTGCAAGTGTTGGCGTGGGCTTAGCGTTAGGGGAGGCTGTTAAACCTTCCCAGCAAACAGCAAGGACCTGTCTGAGGAATTTTACGGCTGTTAAACCTGCAGGGAGGTGGGATTTATTTTAGTTTTCCAGCTGCTGGGGAGTTCTACCTTTTTATCTGTTTGCAAGATGAAGGACTTGCTAGCCAAAATTAAATTATTAGCTTAGGGGGAGGCAGCATGAGGGTTGCGTGGCTTTGGGGCTTGCAAAACCCTTTTTAAAAAGGCACTTGGAACACTTGGTGGAAACACTGCAGGTTTTATGAGAGCGTGATGTATTTGCCAGGCAGCATCAAGGGGTCAAACCTCCTGTCTTGAGCCGCAAATGGGGCATCCAAACATCAGGGATATGGGATGCACGTCATCTTCAGGCACCCAACGTTTACCTACAGGCACATCAGTCTGTGTGCAAACCCAAGTGTTTACTGACACGCATACCTGTGCCATTTTTAAAACCCGGGATCACAGGATACAGGGAGCGGCAAGAGGAGCAGTCTCAGAGAATTGCCACTAATTTACATCAACTCCCTTCAGGAACTAATTTGATGAGGAGTACCTGGAACTGGAAGGAGTCGCTCTCTACTTCAGCTCCGGAGTGCCTGTACCACACAATGCCATCGCTGATGTCCTGCTGGGTGAAAGAGGTCGTGGGGGAGGCTGCTCTTCCATCAGGCAAAAGCTGCCACGAGTCCGCGGGGCCGTCTGCCAGCATCGGGCCCAGGAGCACCACTTCCCCTGGCAACAGCAAAGGGCACTTGTGAGAACACCAGCAGGGACAGATGCCCTGCAGCAGGCTCTCCACCTTCCCTTCCAGGGCACAGCCTCGGGGGCAGAGTGCAGCACGCTCATCTCTTCAAGATCAGCTCTCTTCCAGCTCTTTTGGGAACTTATTATGCCAAAAAGTGCACCCAATGGATTCTTCTGAACAGAAATCTCCAACTGCACTTGGCCTCTTTGAACTTCACGAGGTTCACATCAGAATTAGCATTTTGTTAATTACTTCTGTTAAACAGATTGATAATCCTGCTGATTGATCATTAATCATTCCACTGTGCAAAATATCCATCCCATTTCCTTAAACCACCCTCGAACTGTTGGAGCAACAAGGAAATAACTCAGCAGGCTGAAATATCACACTTCTAATTGATCATCCAACTCTGTGCTAATATTGCCTTATCGGTGCCCTAATTACATTCCAAATCTTATGCGTTTGCTCATGGGAGTTCCCCTAAAAATCTAAAAATCAAATTATATGTTTTCTACAGGTATGAACATCTTCTTCATCAGTCACACACTAAGTTAGGCAGATAAGCTCTCTTGGATTCAGGACCCATTTTCCACATTTCTCTCTGTTAATTTTTTCCCTCCCTTTCTGTGAAACAGTATTTTAGATAAAATTTTGAAAATCATTGATTTTTGCTGCTTATTCCTCACCTGCAGCTATAAACCCGTTTGTGTTCCTGCAATTAATCACAGCAGAGATAATTACGGTGATACAAACACAGGATTATAAATTTTAGTTAGGGTTAGGCAGCAGGAGACAAGCTCCTCGGGGGAAAAAATTCCTGTTTTTATGTAAATGCTTATTAAAAATGAGAAGGCAGAGCTTCATCTGCAGAAAACTGAAGGGGGAATACAAATGAATTACTTCTCTTCTAACCTGCAGAACTCACATAATCTCTGTTTCCATCAGGTGCTGGCAGCTGTTATGGAAAACAGCCTGGCCTCACAGCAAAAGGCAAAAAAAACCCCCCAGGGATGTTGCTGGAGGGACCCCCTAATTTTCTCGGGCTCAGCAAATTAAATGTGGTATCATTTCTTAGAAATGCAAAATATGCTATTTAAAGTCATGGTTTTAGTGAAGAAAAGAACATTTTTCTTTTCTCTCCGTATTGCCTTTCCCTCCACATAGGTGGATGCCTTCTCTGTTCCAGCCAGTTTCCCTCCATTTATTGCTCAGCCACAAATCCCAGAACCTTCCATGCTCCTCCTTAGCCTGTTCCCAGAAGACACTTTCTAAGCACAGGGTTGCTGGAGGAAGTCACTGCTCTGAGAGGTGAGCTCAGAGCCTCCCCTAAGGAATTTGGGGACAAGAATTATCTACAGATGCAAATGTCACCAATTCCTGTTTGAGCCGGCAGCCCCCTCCATCGGTACAAATTAAATCAAATGCCATGGAATTCAGGGAATTCTTTGAGGTAAACTTTTGCTCAGCAGTTTCTAGAGACGGACATTACCCTGTGCTCCTCTTAAACTAGGCATTCCTTGTAGAAAAGTATCTTTTGGCAGTAAGATTCTGCTGTCTCAGGGCTGTAAATCCACCAGGATTTCACTCCCACTGGAGAAATGACAGGATCAGATGACCAGGCAGGGCAAAAGTGCTTTGTTACTTTTCACTCCCGTTTGAAGTGGAAAAAGATGAGTTTAGCAGCACTTACCCAGTGTAGTATTATACAGAAACATTCCCCAAAATTCTATTGGATGTGGACAAAACACCATGGAAGTGGGATGGAAAGCTGCTCTTTGACAAGAGAATTCCAAAGATCCTTACCATGCCTGGGCTGGTCCTTGGTGATGGTGTAGGTGATGTCGGAGTCCCGGGCACCGGGGAGCTCGGCGTGCAGGATGGTCTTGGAGATCTGGAGCATGCCACCCTGGGGCACCCACACCAGGGAATTTGTCACCAGCCGAGGGCTCCTGTCACCCTGTGGGCAAGGGGACAGCAGGAAAAGGCTTATTGGAACGTCAGTAACACTGCCCGGACAGAAACAGGTTTTCAAGGGAAAAGGATCAAGAGTATTCTGGAATTTCTTTATGCATCCCACCCTGGTTGTCTGCTTCCAGCGGTGGTTGTGCACCCTTCACCTGCATCCCTCAGACCCAAATCTCAGCCTGTAGAACTGACCTTGTCCTCTGATTCCTAATTTCCTGTCGCCGATCCTAAACCTTCCTGGCCTGAGCCTCCCTCCAGAATTTTGTCCTCTATCACCCCCCTCATTCTCTCTGAGCATCCACCAAAATCTTTTGCTCCTTCGTGGGTTTTCTAGCCTTCAAATTATTCCTGTGGCGCTTTTTCTCCCCAAATCTTTATCCCATATTAATTCAAGGTACTCGAAATGTGGATGTCAGGGCCGGACGCAGTAGCAGTTTCAGACCTTTAATCTGCCTGCCAGGGTTTCTGTCCCAGCACATACCTGGGGAGCAATCATGATGTGGAACAGGATGTTCTGGAAGTGGAACCCATCGTTCACCTGCAGGAGCACGGCATCATCCCGGGAGGCAGAGCCATCGTGAGCGTAACGCAGCCGGCCCCCCGCCAGCTCAGCCAGGTGGAATGTGTGCACGGAAGATGCCGAGTCCCCCGGAGCTCTGAGCAGCTGCCCGTGACGAGGAGGCTCCACGACCATCAGCACAACGTCCTGAGGATTGTCACTGTCCCTCACACCGAGCAACAGCTCTGTTATGGTCCCGCTTTCCCCTCTGCCGACGAGGAGGGGCTCGTTTCTGATCACAGACGGGGCCTGAAACACAAGAGCAGCTCTGAGGTGGTTGCTAAGCCTTGGAGATTGGATCATGATCGAAATCTGGAATGAAAAGTTTGGGGTTAAGGAAACCAGCTCGCTTCATCCCTGGAAATCTCCTATTTCTAACAAGCAGAGAATCAGTCTCCACACCTTTCTCCCCTGTGGGCAGATCTAAGAATATTTAGCATTTAGACTGAATTAGTCACATTAAAAGAAGATTCTCATGCCACAGCAAGCTCAGGAAAGGAAAAAACTTAGGATATTTACACAGAAAGCATCTGACTGGGTGTCATCAGCATCAGCAGTTATTTAATTTCTAAGATTCCCCACAGCCTTATTCAACCTACACCAAAGATCAGCTAGAACCCACGTTTCTGCTGGTTTAAATTAGTTCTTTACTTTATAGTTGTCGAGAAAGTTTCAATCTGCAGTGTCTATTGATCCCAACCCACATCTTTTGCCACTGGGAATGCGCTGCCTTGGGAGGGAGGAGATCCCGCAGAGACAAAGTCAAAGCCCTGGGAACATTCCTGCTGCCACATCACCTGTGCACGACTTCTGAGGGTTATTAGGGATCGACAGGCAAAATTCCTACCATTAAACCTCACTTCTGTATTCTGGGACAGCCACTGCAGCTCTTACTTAGGTGAACGTCCTACTGGGGTAAACAGGAATTAGACTGAGCCAGGACCTCAGTGCCAGCCAGAATCAATATACACACGGCAGGATCCAAATCCACAGCTTGTCTTACACTAAAGGACAAACCAGAACGCTTTTAATTTCCAGAAATGATGGGAACAACTAATATGGAATATAAATTACTCATTGTGGGGATGGAGGCTGAGCCAGGCTTGTGGGCAGGAAGGAGTCAGCACTAAAAGAGTTCTTATCAAGCCATTTAGTGCCTCTCTGAGGATGCACTTTAAAGTCTCTTTATTTGTAAGAATACGTCAAGTAGCCACAAATTCTAGAGCTAGAGCTCTCCACTCTGGAAAAAGCTGCAAAGTCTCAAGCAGTTTGAGTTCAAGCTGCAAAGTCTCCTTGGAGACCTGGACCCTGTTAAGGTGCCTGTGGCACCTCTGGGGTGAGGCCCCTCCACGATACCGTTCCACAGACTTTAAATAACCATAAAACAAGACACGGGCACTTGGCAGTACCATCAGCGTGCCCAGAAGTGGGGAGCAGTTTAAGAGACACACTTTAAACAGCTCACGCTGATTTAATTCCCAACTGTCCTAGAACAGAGCATTAAGCTTGAGTGTCAAAGCAGCCCTGCCATCGGGATCAATCATGGCTCAATTGCCCTGCAGTAAGAGGCTGAACTAGAGCATCCGCAGATCCAAAGGATAATTGGAGCGGCAGGGACTCCTTAGCCCTCCCTGATAATTTCTCTGTGATTGCACAGCTGCAACTCCCTGCACAAGCAAAATGACACAGGCCAACTTCTTCAGTCGCTTCCCCAAGTCCCCTCCTTCCATGTGGCTCTTGGAGCCGAGTCTGATTTGCCTGACCTGAACTCCGGCTCGAGTTCTGCCCAGCTCCACTGTTTATCCCTGCAAGAAACCAGGGCTCCAAATGGGACAAAATTCAGGGTTGTCTCCAAGCTTAGTTACCTTACCTGTGTTGAAAATGCTTCAATGTTGATCACCACAGGGACGGAGAAGGACTGTTGATCGCTGACCTTCAAGGAAAACTTTCCTTTCCTAAAAAAGTCCCCAACAAGCCAAAATACAGGATAATATAAATTAATGAAGTGCTTTTGCAGGACTCTATAATGATAAACATATTATATATTCAGCAAAAATTACTGCCTCAGTGACACAAGCTCTAACTCAAGTTTTTTCAGTTCTGTTTTTATAGTAGTTTTTCTTGAGGATTCACAACAGTCACAAAATGTAATAAAATACCTTTAGCTCTGTAATAATACACCCTCATGTCCCTTGAACTAATGTTATCCACATCGGATGGCATCTCCAAGATAAAGTGCCAATTCTAAATGTCAGCTCTTTGCTGCAAAAGGAAAAAGTCACTTATCTGGCCTCAGAACAGAAGCTCCCACTTGCCAGGATTAACCATCAGTTTTAGCATGATAGAGCATAAGTAAATTGGTAGTTGAATTAACAGCAGTGAGAGGCATGTTTCTCTGCAGGAATGCTTCCAAGGAAGGAGGGAAGACCCGTTCTCAAGACACATTCCTTTTTTTTTTTAGGCAAAAGCCCAGCAAGAAGTTTCACCTGGGTCTGTCTGTGCTGTGCACGAAGCGGACCCTCCTCTCCTGCACGTCCCTGCAGCTGAAGTGGTCTCCCTGGCTCAGCAGCACCTCCTGCCCAGCCACCACCATCAGCAGCCTGCCGTTGGAGGGAATGCTGTCCATGTGGAACAGGAGCTGGCCCGTGCCACCGCCTGCGTCACACACCCCCAGCAGCGACAGGTGCAGGGGTGTCACCCCGCCGATCCCGACGGTGAGGGTGCTGCTCGAGGGATGTTCCCTGGCTGCAATGAAACAAGGGAGAAGTATTACTGAAGGAATCACCACGGGCAGCGTGCCTGTCACCACCATTACTGGGTGTAAGGGTTGGACCTGGCTCCCAGCCAAATGCCCAAGCCCACAGTTGCAGTCTCTCACTACAGTTGCAGGAAGAGATTTCCCCCAAGATGTTTTGTCGTTTGTTTTACACCGACGATTAATGATGCTGCTGGAAAGATGTGCCTCCACACTTAGTCACGTAACTTCATTTAGAAAACCCCGTACGTGCACATCTTACGAAACCAAAAAACTGGAGAAAAATAGCTGCTGACTTTCAACAGCAAAATGCTCAAAAGTGAATTCTGAAAATGCGACTGAGTGAACACTTCTGGCCTTAAAATCTGCTGGAAACCTGCTGTCTCAGTCACTTTGTCATGAGAGACACTCACCTTCTTCACACTCTCTGGTGCGTGTATTGCCATAGAAACCCTGGCCACAGGCAGAAACACAAGTGTGGTCCTTCAGAAACGCGCTGCTGTCGCAGAGGTGGCACAGGCTGTCACTGTCACACTCCAGGCACCCGGGAGGACAAGCTGAAGCAGATGGAAAGCACAACCCCACTGAGACACTTGCAAAACCAATGCAGCCACTGGTGCACAGAACAGAAACACTGCTATTTGTGTCTTACCCACCTGTCAGAAACAGTCAAAGTAAGGGGCAAAGAGTGAAGGGTCGCCACTGTCACCACAACATGCTCCCTGCGCTTACCTGTGCACTTCTGCTTTGCGTGGTCTGCATAGTATCCCTCCCCACACCTGGGAACACAGCGAGTGTCCAGGAGGAAGAACGGGGCTTGGCAGAGGCTGCACTCGTCTGCTGCTCCGTGGCACTGGAGGCAGGGTGGGGCACACCCTAAAAAGTCACATGCAAAGAGTTCAGCTCGACACCACTTTGGAGGCAAGCAGGGGAACATGCCAGACTCCAGAAGAACTCACTCTGGCACGTGTCTGATTCCCGGTAGAAAGCCGCAGGGCACTGTTCCACACAAGCTCCTTCGTGGAGGACGTGGCCCTCCATGCACTGCAGGCAGTCGGTCCTCTGGGGGCCTTTGCAGGCGTTACAGCTCCAGTCACACTCTGCAAGAAAACAAAAGGCACTTCACCTTTTCCTCGCTTCATTCCATCATGGAACACTCTGCTGGGGAGCTCTGCAAACCTCTCAAGCCACGCGTCTTTAAAACCATTCCAAACTGCTGTTCCTGCAGCCATCCACTGATGCAGGACTTAATAAGACAGAGAGAGGCAGGTAAGCACAGGAGGCCTGACAGACACCCTAAAAGAGCCTTCTCCTGGCAAGCTCACTCATGACTCAGCTGACCCGTGACTAAATGAATTGCTGGATCTGACCCCTGCAAACTTTGCTGGCTCAGTTACTGAATCACTTACAAGAGAGCGATTTGCAATAATCTCGTTTCACTGAAAGGCTCAAGTATGTGACAGCAGGCTGCCCAAAAACAGAGAAGAAAACCTGCAAACACCTCGCAAGCAACCTGTCACTGAACAATTTCCCCCTTTCTAAAGCAGGCCACCTGCCATGCAACGGATTCTTAGTCAAGGCACTTTAATTACTTATTTTTAAATTTTTTTTTTTTCTTGGAAGTAGCAATGCATTTTTCACCTCTGCAAGTCTTGCTGGAAAAATCCAGGTAATACTGCTGAGCACAGCTCTCGTACTGGCACTCTCCAAACAGCAGGACCTTGGCTGGATCTCTGCACGAAGTACAGCCGGCAGCGGAGTCGCAGCTCCAGCACTGGCTGCTGCAGGCTGTGGAAAAACAAGAAAAATCAGTGAAACTCCCGATGCACCAGCCAACTGCACAAGTAAAAACGGCATTATCCAACAGCCTCGCTACTCCTCTTGTCCTCTTTGACAGACACGTGTGCAGATTTTTGGACTTTGGGCTGGTTATGTTCCTTTTCACAGCCCCCAAAATGTAAAGAGCCTCCTTCCATTTGGAAAAGACGGGTATGTCTTCTTAGAGTAATGCTTATTCTCCTCTGGACAGGGGAGGGTAAAACACTGATCCTGAATCCAGATCCCCAAATAGGAGCTTTCCCTGTCTCTGCTTTTCTTACTTCCTTTAATCAACCTGTGTTTCATACAATTCTTTACCCAGAGACACAAAACTTTGGAGAGCAGAGCAGCCTGCTGCAAATCCAGGCAGCAAACTTTGGTGGGACCAAAGGCCCATTTAGTTTCTCTTAACATTTCCACCTTTTTATCTGCACACAGTGTGAAGCTCTGGAGCTGCAGGGAGCAACAAAGACGCCAGGAAAGAAAATAATTCAGGGATTTACTTAATCTAGGATCAAAGTCCAGAGGTTCAGAGTATTTCAACTCATCTCTTTGATGTCCAGGAACCAAACTTCTCAGGAGGTACTGTACTAACAGTTCAGGTGCTAAATACTGACATGTCAATTCAAGACACAGTTTTATAACCAACAAACCTCCAAATACCAAAGTAAATGTGAAAATACCTTCGCTGCTCTCACTGAAGCAAGGCGCCAGTGTTCTTCAAAAGAGTTAATTGTTTTAGCTCATCTAAAACCTCACAGAAGGTCTGTGTTTTACAGAGGTGCAAAGGATTTCCAGCAAAACATGTACCTGAAGAATCTGGTAGCTCTGATGCCAGTCTGATTCCACTTCACTTAAGAATACATGAAAAAACCCCACTATTTCTAAGTGCTACAAAGAACCAACTATTAAAAATACTGTACAACATTCCACATGAGGTCTAAATCCGTAGAAATCAGGTTACCCGGGGAGGCATGCCAGAACAGTAAGCCAAAACTGCATCTGAAAGCAATCCTGCCTGCTTGTTTTATCAGCACGACTCCCTCTCTGCACTTTTAAGCCCATGAAGGACTTGTTAAGCTTTGTGCTGTTCCTGGGCCAGGATGCTGTTGAGTTTAAAAATATCTCCCAGAGCCCAAACGTGCACTCAGCATCTCCCTGAACCTCATTCCAACCCCAAGTTCCTCAAAAGTGCAATGAGACTAAAATAAACGTTGAAGAGAGAGACCCAATTTTCTCAGCCTAACAGCCAACCTCCGATTAAACAATTTTCATTCCCTCCAAGTGGCAGTTTCCCAGCAGCCTGGGACAGTTTATATCTGGGTGGCTTATCAGCAGCACTTGAAAAGGCACAAGTGACACTTGGAATGACAAAAATCCAAGGCGCTTGGCTTTGAGCCTCCTGCTCCAAGGATTACAAACACTTCTTAAAAAGCCATTTGCAATAAGGAGATTAGAGAAGCTGAATTTGCTTGCAAAAAAAAAAAAAAATCTATTTGCATTTGAGCCCCTGAAGCAGATTCAGGAAGGGTGCAGGCCTCAGGAACATTCCACGGGTACCCTGGTGTCCTGAGGCAGGAGCTGTCAGTAGGAGAGTTTCATTAGAAAGGGGTATGTTAATTAGGAAGGGAGATATTCTGGTGCAGTTAGCAACACAGAGCACCCACACTGCAGGAGAAAACAGTGAATGTTTCCTAGAGCTTCTAGGTAACTAGCCAGGACAGTGAGAAGCCTTTCTTTTTAATTCCTATTTTTTATTACCTTCCTTTTTTTCATTATTATTGAGTAGCCTTGTTTTTTCCATCAACAGAAGAATGGTACAAAGTTTTCCAGCTATTTCCTTGAACTTATGTGAGGTGTCTCCCAACCTGCTGATCAGATGAAAATAACAGTTCCAGGAGAACCATCTATTTCACCAGAAGGCAGGTAAAGCTGACAACCACATCTGTTTCCTCCTACAGGACCTCATCAGTGAAAAAACTGGGTCTGGATGGGATGACACTGATACCTGTGCTCAGTGCAACAGAGTCATTTTATCATGAATCAGGAGAATTTAAATCAGGGTAATGCAGGACTTCCCCCCTCTGAGTGCTCATGTTCACAGCAACCAAACCACTTAGGTGTTCACTCATTTTTAGGTGTGTGTATTATAGTGGGACAATTCAAGCAGCTTTTTTTCCTATTTTTTTATGTCTCCGGGCCAAATAATTTTGCATTTTGGAACATCAAGCCCAGTGATTACGGAGGAACAACCCAGGGCCAGAGAGAACATAGAATAATAAAGGAAAAGAGGGGCCCCAAGAGATTCACAAGGGATGGCAGGAGTAGGATAAAATAAAAGCGGACTTAAAGCAGATCAATCCCACCAGATCATTAGGAGGCAGCAGTATCACAGCTCAGCCTGCCAAGCTGCACCTTGCTTCTGCTGGGGTTTCACGTGGGGAAAAATGGACATAAATGCTCCAGTACAGCTCCCATGGCGTGCAGTGGCAGGTAGTGCAGTGGGGAAGGGGTTTGCCTTCGTAAGGATGGATTAAAACTGGTCTCAACTTGCCAAGTTTTCACAAAGCCCAGAATCCATCCTGCACAAACTCTCCTGCGGGTTTTCACTGTGGGACCCAAATCCTCTTGTCTTTGGGGTCAACAACAAAACTGCAACTGTTTCCAAATTTCAGCCCCGCTGCAGGCCCTGCTCCCGAGGCAGCCCATCACCTCTGTCAGCTCACATCGGGGTGTTAGGCACTTGAAATCTTGCTTTTCCAGGCAAAGGGAATGGTAAGCAGAGGAACAAGAACAGACATGTCGGGAAAGGAGGAAGGGGAGATGGCTGGGGAGAAGCACTCACGTGTGCAGGTGTGCCTGTCGTCCCTGTAGTACCCCGGGGAACAGCTCGGCACACACGTGCCCGTGTGGGACAGGACCAGGCTGGAGTTGCAGGAAGAACAGGCAGAAGGACCCTCTGCGGTGCAGGTTTTACAGGAGGGGTGACACCCTGCAGGGACAGCAAAAACAAGGGTTTCTGTTCAAGGAAAAGCAGGCTCACCTCTTGAGCTTCTTACCCTGACTGAAGTCATGTAAAATACCACACTGGATGAGGCTGGTGTACCCTATTAATTTCTCCAGAGAGGGTAAGTACAAAATTATTAGTCTGTTTTATTTCTTGACAGGCCTTTACCTAAAGATTGATGCCATCATTACACCTATCAGGTCAAATTAATCACGAGTGAGAGTGGGCAAAGGAATTAGAGAAGTGACTGTGCCGCGCTGGGGATCTTAAAAGCCAGCACGACACGTCATGTGAGCTCTGACATGAGCCTGAAAAATGCAAAACTCCTTTTAAATGAAGGCTTTAAACCAAAGGGAAGAAACGTTATCCCCAGGTCTAAATTCCCAGGAAGGCAACATCTGTCTCCCAGGGGCCTTTCCAATCAAGTGACACGGAGGATATTTCATGCAGCTCTGAGACCTCATCTGTCAAAACCAGGTAAATAAACACACAGCTCCTGGAATGCTGGAGAGAAGCTTTGAAATATTACCCGTCAGTTGTTAGACTGGATGAGGAAATGCCACTTCCTGCAAAGGGAGCATCTATCTCTTAAATCCTAATGTCCTGGATTTCTTGTCTTGATTACTTTCTCTGAAACTGCAATGCCCCGTGCTCAGCTTTGGGCTTTACCAGATCTCTGTCAGCCACAGAACAAGAAAAGCAACCTATTTCCTCCTAAGAGTCCCAAGGAACATAAAGCAGCTCAGACAATGACTGGAACATGAAACCACATCAACAACAGAAAGCGGAGGAGCTGCAGGGACAGGTTATAAAATAAAATGTGCCATCGGTGCAGCTTCCCCCACGCAGCCGAATTAAATTGGCTTTTTGTTTCAGAGGCTGCTACAAACGATCACCTTTTGGGCCGTTCCCAGAGTAAGGCAACCCCCAGTGAGAGACCTCGGACGATGTTCCATCTCAGGTTGCAAAATATCCCCAAAAATTCCTATCAGCAAGAGCTCTGCCCCCAGTGCAGTGTCCCGCCAGCTGGGCAAAGCTTCTCTACTGAGTAGGAGCGGTTTTGTGGAACATGTCCCAGGTGGTTCCTTGCAGCCAGTCGAGGCCCCTGCAGGAGCTACTCACGTTTGCAGGCCCCGCTCTGGGCGTAGTGTCCCGCCGGGCAGTCGGGAACGCAGCGATCCCCCAGGAGCAAGTGACGGGAGTTCTGGCACTGCAGGCACACGCTGCCCGTGTCCCGCAGGTCGGCCACGCACTGCCGGCACAGGGGGTGGCAGTCTAGAGGGAGCAGGGAACAACAGACCCGTGAGCACATCAGGTGCTAACCACTGCAATTCCAGACGTCTGCAAGAGAGAGGCGACCAGAAATCCCTGCAGCCAAGGAGGATTCCTTCCCTCTTGCCTCATCCCCGTCTTGTGTTCCTCCTGAGCATCACATTTTCACTTTGCCTCTCTCCCGCCTCGTTAAAGCATCCTCTTCCCCATCCTTAAGTGAGCTCGGGAAAGCTTGGTACAAAGCCAGCTCAAAGTCCTTCACTTCCCAAAACCCTTCACTGATTTTAGGTGCCTCTGCCTACAGGTTCATCTTTAATTCCACTGGAAGCTGTCAGCATTCACCTCCCTCTGCTCCCACTGCGGAAAAAACAAAGAGCACAACCTGTACAGCTGTATGACCTTCTCCTGTTGGTCCTCCTGCTCCAGTTTTCCCACACAAACGAGACATCCATCCATCCCCTGAGGAGGCCACTGCAGCCCTCAAAGCCAAGCCAAGAGCGGCATCACAGGGCCTTAAAAGCTTTTCCCTTTCCCATCTTTCCCCAGCAGCACCACGCTCGTGTCTCCTGACCCCCGCCTGAACTCGGGTGCTTCCGAAGGTTTGACAACAAGCCTTTTGTGTGCACAAAGGTGCAGTGTAAGGCAACCTGGAAGCCAAATTAATCCTCATTATGGTAATTCAGAAAATTATAAAGGAAATGACGACCGTCTTGAAAGAAATGTAATAATGAGGCTTGATTTGAGTACCTGGCCTCTTGTCAGGTCTCCGCTGAAGGCTCAGCTTTCTGTCTTTTGTCTCTCGTGACAGCAGTACTACAGATTGCCAGGCAATCTAATTTTACAAGCTGAAGACAGGCTCACATTGGAGCCTGGAGGAATTCTGCATCCATACCTGCAGGAAGGCAACAGTGACTGGAGTCTAACCCCAGCCTGTGGGCGAAAGGTTCCATAAAAACAGCACAGAAACGAGACAAGAGAAAATTTAGTGCGTCCAAAAAACCTGCTGTAAATAACTAGAGTCTCCCAAACTAACATTTAAAATACAAGTATCTACAAAACCATGTGCTGCTGCTGCTGCAGCAGCAGAGTTTTCTCTTCAGAGCCTCTGTTTTGGCTCCTGTGTATGGAAAGAGTTTTCTCAGTTACTGTTTTAGGATGAATCAGCCCCATCAGTCTCTTGTTCCTTTGCAAGCCCGGAGATCAAAGAGCACACAGCACCAACTGAAAACCCAGAGCTGACGCTCATGGTGAATTTGAGGGACATTGGGGAACGAGTGGGAGAGTGAGGGAAGAACTGAAGTGCTTTGTTTTGGAAAAGATGATTTCAATTTTTCGCAGCAGGCTCCCTTTGAAGCCAGGACTAACAGAAGGGGGGTGTTTTCTCTGTGCTTCTCAGTAACACCACACAGCTCTATTTGTTTCCTGCTTCAGCCTTCTCCCTGTCAATCCTGCCTCCAGCTCAGGCAGCAGGCACGTTACTGCCTGTGGGATTTGGCTTTTTGGAGGCTTCACATCCCCCCTTGGTTGCAGGTCAGGGTAACACAGTTAGTTAATTCCCTCAGGCTCCTTCCAATACCCCAACTGGAATCTTCAGGCCACGATGCCTCCCTCCTTGTGTTTCTCAGATTGCCTCCCACTGTCCAAACAAAATGTTCTCCTGCTTCTCTTTCAGCTGGCTCTGATTTCCTCCTTGTCAATTCACCTCTACACAAAAATAACCCCAACCGCCTTCCCTACCACTGATCTTCCTATACAGCAATTTTCACTGTTAAATAAAATGGAATTACTTACACATATTTCTGGAATTACTTGGCTTTCATGCCCTCTTTAGCTTTCTCCTAGCAAATAAACCAAGAAAACAGTGCCCTTTCTACATGGAAAGTATCTATTACAGGTTGTTCAAAGACACAGAAGGCTGTCTGGGGAGACAAAATCACCTCTGAAGTGTTTGTGAATGCTCATAAAGGAAACCAGAGGCATTTCTCCCTCTCAGCTCCACCACTTGCTAAGCAATCAACCACCTGCATTGTTTGAACACATTTCCCCTCTCAGGGGCTCTTCAGAAAAGTATTTCCTGATGCAAGTTTTGTGCTGCACTCTGAGGGAAGCTCTGAGGTTTACAGCAGAGCACGACTTAAAGGGAGGACTGAAGACACCACCCACTGGTACCTTACAGTAAATCCAGACAGAAAATCAGAATGGTTGGTTCGCAAGGATACCCAGCACTGACCAGGGGTTTTGGCTCGACTTGGTTGTTGGAAGGGGTTTCTTGCCTCTCTTTCCAAAGACCTGACAGGGAACCTGTCCCCCAAACCAGCAAGGAGAATTCCTGGCGAAGTGTAACCGTGTTTGCAGGGATTTACCTGCATCCCCTGGAAGGGTGGGAGCTGCTCCAGGCAGCGGGAGGTGGGAAACCCACCTGGATGGTGCCTGGCACAGATGGGCCCAGATCAAAGCAGGGAAATGGGCTCCCCTTTGCCTCCTCTGGCAGCTCAGCTGCTAACTTCTGCAGGAGGCTGCCCCAGGGAGCAAGTGGAGCTAAGCCCCCAGTTCCCCTCTTGCTCTGCTCAGCCCAGCTCCAGCTCTCGGTGATGGTATCAGCGTCTCTCTAAAAGGACAGCAACAGCACATTAATTTTACAAGGAACTGAATATATTTCCTGTTGTCAGGCTGTCCCTTCTGGAATTTTAAGAGCAAGGCAACAGAGCTTGTTACAAGCACCCTCCTGGGTGAGCTGTTCTGGTTTAGCTTTGAACATCTTCCCAGCTGCGCACAGCCTAAGAAAGCAAAGCCTGTGGAACACGGGCACTGGGAGTTCCCTTGCAAGGAAGAGGCAGCTGGAAGTTAAGACAGGACCTTGGGGGATACTGTATCAGTGGGTGTTTGGAGTTTTCTTTCACACCAGTCCCTCTGGACTTTTCTAATTGCCCTTCCATGCAATCAGGAAAAGATCAATGGAGAAGCTTCAAGATTAAGAGGAAACTTGAAGACGGGCCCCTGATTTACTGAAGCAAGAGCAAGGACAGGGGTTGAGGAGAAGGACAGCACTTTTAGCAGTGGTGCTATTTTTAAGCCTGGTGATTGCAGTGCTTCTCAGAGCTGAAGCTGACTCGGATAAGAGGGAGAGGAAAATCAGAGTGTCTTCAAACTGGGAAAACAAAACCTACAGAAGCTCTGAGACTCAACAGGAGTTGGCTACAGCTTCAAACACATTCCTGTACGTATACTTTAGCTATAAATCAAAACTGAATCAATTGAGCACTCTCAGAGAAGACTGGCACAAACGGAGCTTAGAAACTCACTGATCTCTTGGAACTCGAGGACATGATGTCTTTCTTCTGCTTACACCTGAAATGCTTATTTGATTAACTGCTGAAAACAAGATTTTTTTTTTCTTTTCTATTAACAAGGCAAATGTTCCAATTTCAGGTTGGAACATTTGCCATTCAGGTAACATGTACAATAACACCATTAATTCCCAGGCAATGGTTTCAGGTGACAGTAGGTTTTCTCCAGCCTGTGGGAAAGATATTCCCCTCCAGGTCCGTAAAATATGACAGGTGGCTATAATGCACAGCAGGCCCTATAAGTTGCAACACAATTCTTCCTGGAGGGTCAGGAATTAAAGATAAATGGGAAGATAATTGTAAAAATATATTGCTTTGGGAGGCAAAGGGAAAAGCTTTGTTAGATCCTGACGCAAATCATATCTTATGAGAGTGTCAGGGGTTTTAATGTTCTCTTTTATGGGACAGCTGCTCTTTAACTGGTAATTAATAACTTGCAAGGGCAAATTTAGCATTTCAATCAGTGCTGAATGAGAAGAATGAGTGAAACTTAACAACCTGGATGTGGAGCTCTTTTATCCCCAGCAGAACTGGCAGCACACATCCTTCGCTTAAACACCAGCCATAAATTAGGCCTTCTCTCCTGTTTGGAGGACGCAGATCCAAGCCACTGAATACTGGCATTCAGTGATGCCAGGCACTCTGAACCAAGCCTTGAAAATGTGTTTCTGCTTTGAGAAGGCAAGTCTCCAAAGAGTGACATCTCTTGACACTGAAATGCTGAATTACTTCCAGATTGTGACTACTTGACTGTAGCAAACGTCTTGATTCCCCAGCCTGATTTCCTAAAGAGCTGTACAATACTTTTAGGGTGCTTTCCTACTTCTCACACACTTTCTCTCCCCCCTTGTCTCTGCAGACAGAATAATCATTGTCATTTAAAAGGAAGAGGAAGAGATGGTTCATAGAATTAATCTGTGGAGAGCAAAGAAACAAGTCTTTCATAAAAAAACCCACCCAAGACCTATATGTAAACAAAGAGAGGTCCCTGTGAAGGGGAATCATATTAAACTGGGAACAATAGCCTCTCAATGGATATATTTATTACTTCTAACGCATTTTCCCCTTTTCTTAGGACTCCTTATCTCATTTGGAACTGTTAAGCCCAGATTAAGCCTCACACACCACAGCTTTTTCTGATAAAGCCAAAATCCAGCTTGATAAAGCTCAGGAACTGTTGGAGCAGTTCCCAGGATATGTTTATACACGCCTGTGTGACGGATTAAAAGTGATTTTTCTTTTTAAACAGATAAATGCAATCAGTGGTTTCAGATGATGGGCTTAAGTGCAGGCACCGAGCACCCACACTGTACAACCCCTACCCAGAAATCCTATTACCTCCCAAAAATGCACAGCAATGGAAAAAACTGTGCCAGTTTTCCTTTAGGGCCACACGAACTGCTTCTCTGGATCACAAATGTTTCCTCACCTCCCTTTGCAGGACCTAAGCAGCGCTGGCTGCGAAGCAGCAGGTTAATGGCCCAGACAGGGCCAGCTCCTCTTACTCACCCACACAATATCCCACCAGGTTGAGGTACTGCTCCTCCTTGCAGCTGGTCCTGCACTTCCCACGAGCCAGAGCGGTGTGCGGATGGCAGGTTAAACACTCCCCATCAGAAGGGCCCTGGCATGTCTTGCAGGAGGGGTGACAGGCTGAAAGGAAAATCAACACTTTTTATGCCCTTGCTGTTGTCCCCCTTCCCCTCTCCCCTCCCCAAAACACCAGCTCCTACAGTCATTGACTCCTACAAAACATGGACTTAAAATATTCTAATATCAACAGGGACTGCAGGGTTGTGGTTTGGAAGGCTCTTACATCCTCATTTTGAACAAACAAGATGAGGAATGAGATGTCAATTTAAAAAATCTGATTTGTTCCCTGCATTAATCAAGGTATAGATCCACACACAATGTAAAATAGAGAGAGACTGACCCTGCTACTCCTCTCTCCAGCGTATAAGAAAAAGAGTGGGATGCATGGGGGAGATAAATTAAACTGCTCTTGGGACTACGGTAAGACTTTTGATATGCATGAGAGGAAACCCGAGGAATGATTTCTCCACAATGCCCTCCACGCCATTCTGTCTGCTGAAAGCTCAACAAAAAGGTGGCACAGAAAGTGGCTAAGAGTGCCCAAGAACATCTCACGGACTGCTTTTGTATCCTTCCACCTTTAAAGACAGATGCCAGATTTCTATGCTACAGATCTGAGGGAGACAAAATTACTATGGCTAAGAATCAGTAAAAAAATTCTTTCAAACTACCTTTAAAGCTCTCTGTATGAATAAAAAGCACAGGACTTGACAGATGCCACTGAAATTTTGTTTCTAAGATATTTCCATAAGCCTGCAACAGTGTAACACAGCCCTCAGCAGTTAGCTGAGCTCCGGGGTGGCGGTGCACCACCTCAGAGCTGATCAATCTTTACAATGCCCTGACAAATAAATCTATTTATAGAGTTGTTCCTCGGCTGAATAAATTGAGTAAATGGAGCAAACCCTTTAGAAAAGGATTCTTCTCTAAACTTGAGGCTTTGCCTAATAAGAGCATTTTATTTTTTGGCGTTGTCCAGTCAAGACTTTTTTTCCCAGAGCAAGTCAGCGAAAAACACCACCCAAGGCTCCTGAGACCAAAAGCAAAGTACCTTCAGGGAAACAGTCCAGGGGAGCAAAACTGATTACAATTTATGATTCCAAGTGTACGTCTCTTCCCCATTAGGAGGGGACTCCATTTCCCGAAATTGGACTGTCCTGCGCTCCCCTGGAAATACCTAAACAGCTTTATATAAATCTGACAGCATCTGTAACTACATTGAGCCGCGGCCCCCAGAGCGTGGGTGGACTGAAACGCAGCAGCGCAGATGAAAGGCAGCACACTCACCGGAGCAGCGGCCCCCGCGGCCGAACAGCCCCTCGGGGCACGCAGGGAGGCACCTGCCCTCCAGCAGCACCTGGGGAGCCACACAGGCCGTGCAGTCCTGGGCAGAATCCCCCACGCAGCCTGCACAGGAGGAGTGGCACTCTGCAGGGAAGGGAAAAGGACAGAAGACAGAAATGAAGACACAAGTCAGTTCTGGCTTATTCTGGGTGTTAATGTCCCAGAGCATGGTCATATCGGTGTAGGGCTGTAGAGTCACTGCCTCTCTGACTGGTAGGAAACCACATATATCCCCACTGGACATCTCGTTAGCCTCTTTTCCAAACTCCAGCCTTCATGGAAATGCTTCCTGCTTGGTATTTCGGGAGCAGCGATGGCACGTGTGCTGCAGGGCATGTTAGCAGAAGAGCTTCCTCAAAAGCAAAGAGTGCTCTGGGATGCCTTGACCTGCTCCAAGGGCTAAGAGGGAGACAGCTCAGTCTTTTTTGAAAAGGATTTAATGACTGATCCTGCTTCAAAGCAAGTCAGTGCTAAAAATCACGTACCCAGCTTCAATGAAAAGAAAGCTAAGCTGAGCTGAGCTGTGCGGGCTTGAACACAGTGATTTGAAAAAAAAAAGTACCTGGATCCTTCAGTCACAAGTAGCATGTAGAGTGTATTTTCCCTCAAAAGTACTAGTATGTGGCCCTGTGAAAGTCACAGAGTATAAACACTGATGGCAGTCACGAGGCAAATACAGCAGCTCCCAGCACACACGGACCAAACGTGGTACAAGCTCACCCCGAACACCTGACCAGCTCTGGAGACAGCTGTTCCCACGCCTGCTCACCTCTGCAGACTCCTGTGCTATCCACATGGAAGCGTGCTTGGCAGTGGGAGAGGCAGAGGCCGTGCAGAGCTCCTTCCCTGGGCAGGTGAGGCTGCAGGACGTCCTCAGGTGCCCGGCACTGCAGGCAGCGAGCGGGCCCGGCGCCGGAGCACGCACGGCACGAGGGGTGGCAACCTGGGCACAGGGGACAGAGCTGTCAGAGACACAGTGGCCCCAGGGAGAGGGACAAGGCCCAACAACCCGGGCACCTGCTTTCTGTAACAGAACAGAGGGTTTAGAAAAGCACTTGGACATCGTTCCCCCACACCCCCAAATGACAGCTCTTTTCCTGAGTGGAGCTGGTGACCAAATGAAAAGCTGTGCCACAGGCAGCCAGCCCATCTTCCTTTAATTTCTGGAAGTGCAGCAGTGAGCACAATCTCTCTAGGAGGGACAGCCAGAAGTGGCAGTCTGAAGGCTTCACAGGAAGCATCAGTTCATCTTCAGAATTCTCAGGCTTTCCATTGCTGCAACAATGACCTCAGTCTTCGCAAATCTACCAGCTGTCTGAGGAATTTCCTACCACGTGTATGTGGGATTTCATACCAGTTGTATGCGGAATTTCATCCACCTCTTAACTCAAGAAAAACTTGGAAGCAATGTACATTTATTTCAGCAGCATACATAGAAGAAGAGAAAAAAAAGTCCTTCAGATCACTAAATCCTGAGGGTGGTGAGGGCAGAAAGCATGTGGGAAAAATCACTTTTTCTCAAAGTAGAAAACAATCAGCAAGGAAGGGCGGGAAGTTCTCACTGACTTGTCCAGTGTCGGATAAAGGCCCAACAAAACCCGGTTTACAGCAACTTATTCCAAGCACACAACTTACCCTTGCAGACATTGTGATGCTGGTAAAAACCCTCTCCACAGCCCTGCAGGCAGTGGCCCTGGTGTAACGCCAGAGGGAAGGAGCAGGAGGTGCAGTGAGTGGCCAGAGGTCCCTCACACGTGAAGCACGAAGCGTGGCAAGCTGGTAAAGAAACAAGAGCACACAGAACTGAAACATCCCACTTCTTCTCCCCGAGAGTGGTGCTGCTGGTTACAGCCTCCTCCAGCCATGGAAAACTCCCAGCTGGAGTGATATTCAGCCAAGTGAACTAATGAGAGCAGAAGTGCACGTGTATTAATAACCACTAACAGCAACAACTCTCACTCACACAGTGTTTTCAGCGTGTGTCCCAGTGTGTCTTTATGTGCTCCACAAGGCAAAGAGGTTATTTCAAACAACCCAGCACAAGTGAGCCAAAGAGATCAAGAAAAAAATATCAAATTCCCTGTCCCCACTGGCACTTCCATGCTCTTACTGTTCACTGCCCACGTCTGGGGAAAACGGACAACAAGCGGAAGGTGCTTTGAGGGCTCTAGAAAAGGTCAGGCAAATACGTCTCTCACCTCTGCATCTTCCAGTGCTGCCTGGGAAATATCCATCTGGGCATTCCAAAAGGCACTTCCCTTCATGTAGCAGCTTCCCTGCAGCACAGCTCACACACCCGGCTGGGTCTGAGGAGCACTTTTCACAGAAGTGGCCACAAGCTGCCAAGGATGGAGGAAAAATTGATTAAAAAAAATGGTAATATCCCCCTCCTCCCGCTTTTCTTCACATCCAAGCTGTAAGTGGGAAAACGCAGCTACAATCAAGCAGGAAAACGTTTCTTACCAAGCCCTGTGGGCTGTACCCTCCCAGGCAGTCAGCTCTGAAGTGAACTGACCTGCTGTCCGAGAGCACTACGGAACTCTGGCTCCATGAGGCAAGTGCTTATTCCCTAAGGCAATATGCTGTGGGATATTTAGAAGGGCCAAGTGTTTTACTCAACCAGTTGTTGTTTCTTTTCACCAGTCAAACCAGCTTACAGGTCTCCGGTTGGGTATCCAAATGCCTGGTTTTGGTAGAAGCTGAAAGGTCTGAATCCGGGAGGTTTCCAGGAACAGCTCTGGGGTTTCCAGAAATCCCCTTCACGATCTGTTTGACTCAGGTGTTTCAGTTCCCTCTGGCCATCTCTTCCCCTTTTCCCAGCAAACCCTCCCAGCTCCCAGGGCGCATCTGCTGTGCAGGTATTAGTTACTGTGATGCTGAATTATAATTAAATTTACAGAAACCTGCTGGCAAAGGCCATTTTTCTTTCCGCAGACAAATGGATTTGTCAAGCCCTCAGAAACAACTCGGGCTTTCAAGCTGTTCAGAGACGAAAAAACCCCTTAAACCTTTCATCATCTGATTAACTTAAATGAATTAATAATCACACAAACAAACAGCAGCTTTCCTCGCCCTGTATTAATGCACAAGGTGCAGCTGGCTTGTCAGACATGAATTAAAATCCCAGCTGCTGCACAGCTAAATGAAATATTGATTCCTTTTTTTTTTTTTTTTTTTTTTTTTAGAGCATTTCTCAAAGAGGTACTTACCTGTGCAGATTCCCTCCTTTGGGTAGAACCCCTGGCCACAGCTGGCCAGGCAGAGCCCCGCTTTCAGCACGAGAGATGCGTCTTTGCAGGACAGACAATTGCTCTCAGCAGGCCCCCAGCACGAGGAACAGGACTCGTGACAAGCTGCAGGGAGGAAAAGCGCAGCATTACCCAACAATCCACTTCCATCAGCCATGGATCACGGCTGGGACACAGTGACGGTTCAGATATTCCTGAAGCATATCCCATTCCTCCAGTGCAGGCAGTGTAAAAGCCCTCCCTGTGGCATGTGGGCACGGGAGCACAGAGGCAGAACAGAGCAAGCTCGGGCATGATGGCACCTTACAATTAAACTAATAACCGTATGGAGAGCAATTCTGCCTCCCAAACCAGCTGTTGAACGAGCCACCTTATTCAAAACTGTACAAAAGTTCACCTGGGAGGGAAATCCAGCCCACTGTGGTTACTGTTTATAGAATCTGGGACACAGGCTCCTGTCCAATCTCGTGCTACCAGTGCTTGCAGCAGCTGTGCAAATTACACTTCTCTCAGCTATTAAGGTTTTTCTTTCTTGATTACACCCAAGTATGTTCCAAAGACGTTCTTCAATTTATTATTTCACAATAAGGCAGGTACACGCTTGTGCTCCCAGTCCATATTCCAATGTCAGGAGTGTCTTATAAGGACAGTGGGCATCCTGTGCCAGACAGGATCTTCCCCTCAACATGCACGTGTGTTTAATTGTGGCTGAATCCCAACACAATGGATACCAAGCATCCCATCCCAAGGTAAAGCTTGTGCACACTTTTCTTCTCCGGTCGATAATTTCCCTTGCTGACAAAAGTCCTGCATCTCATTCCTGGCTGGCTGGATCTCAGGGCACGTCTGCACTCAAAAGTTAACTGCAGGGTGTGAGTTCATGCTGTAAATGTCTAAGTACTGGAATGTCCTCACTTCACCTTCCAGACCTCAGCGTTTTGCTCCTGTCTGAGCTCACTCTAACTTTCAACATGCTCTTGAAAGAGTGGACTCCAGGACTTGGATCCTTCCAGGACAGACTTCCCACTGCTGGGATCCCTTGCTGTTAACCCGCCTCACTGTGTGGGCACATCTGAACGTACCCAGTGGTTCGCAAAGTTCTCAAGTCCTCTCTGGAGTTGCTGCTCCTTTCCAAGAGACATTTTTCCCTCCTGGCTCTGTTTCCAAACAGGCAGCCTTGCACACAGCTGTGTTAAAACCACAGTTCTGATGGGAGCCAGGTCAGTTGGGCAGAGGTGCTTTGGCTCCCACCACACACGGTTGTCTGCCTGCACTAAACCAAGCGCTCCACTTACCAGCTGGCTCTCGCTGGCCCTTGGCACAGACCCTGCAAATCCACAGCAGCTTCCAAGCCTTCCAGACAGTCAGCTGTTGTGTTAAAATCGCACGTCTTCCTAGCCGGGTCTACCAGAGGTCATCAGACCTTCTAAGAAGCTGCAGCGATTTTGGCAGGATCTGGGTGGGTGCAGTTGGAGGAGCAGCCCCAGCCCATTCCTGCCCTGTGAGGGTGGGCAGGCCCTGGCACAGGTTACCCAGAGAAGCTGTGGCTGCCCCTGGATCCCTGGCAGTGTTCCAGGCCGGGTTGGACGGGGCTCTGAGCAACCTGGGCTAGCGGAAGGTGTCCCTGTTCACGGCAGAGGGGTAGGAACTAGATGATCTTTACAGCCTCTTCCAACCCAAACCATTCTGTGATTCCACACCCTCACACACGCCCTGCCTGCAGAAGCTTTGGTTCTTTCAGTAGTGGATCACTGCCAGGCTCAACAGCTGCTCCTCACCCAAACAGCCAGGCAAAACTCCTCTGAAAGAGCAGGGGAAAAAATGGAAGCATTCAATGAGCCACTGTCAGCTAAACCATCTTTGCCTGCAGCGACTAAGTGGCTGCTTGAAAATAAATCAACAGAAGTGACTGCACCGCCAGGAAACTGTTCCCACCCTCCCTGGCTATTTCCAGTTTGGATTTGTAGGGGCTGTCTTGCAGCCCACCAAACTGTCTCCTCTGCAAACCTGTGAAGCGTTCCCAGCAGGATGGCTAATGCCCAGCAAGAGCACAGCGAGAAGTCACTGCTCAGCTTTGGGAAAGCACAGATGGGTCCCACCACTCTGTGCCGCACGGTACCATCAACCACCTCTCCCTGCCCTCGTCACCGTGAGCTGGGCAAGCTCAGCTTAGCCATGCTCAGTCCTGGATCCTCGGGGTGAGCCTCCGCAGCCAGGAACAGCAGGGAAAAACAACAGGTAGCGAGCAAAAATCCAAGCTAGGGAGTGAGCCGGGTCTGTTAGTGTCAAGTTACACATCTCAACATTCCCATTTTGGGAGATCAAAGCAGAAACACTCAAGTTCTGCCCGGGCTTTTGAATAATCTTGAAAACATAAATTATTGAGTTAGAAAAATGCAGTGAGAGCATTGAACAGTGCAAGTCCTTCGAGCCCTTCTGTTCCACCAGGCAGACATCATTTATTTTTGGATGGGGGGAGGGGGGGGGGCGGGTCTGAACTGCTTCCCCAGCCTGTTTCTGCCAAGGCAGAACCCACCACTCTGCTCTGACACAAACTGCTCCCTGATCTTTAAGTGCACTCTTACGTTCTTGAACTTACACCTTTTATTCTCAAATTTACTTTCTTTCAATGGTTTTAACCAACACTTCACAGAAGCAGGCAGAGGGATGGGGCAGGAAACAACCCTGGTGTAGGATTAAAATAGGGCAGAGATCAAACTGCTGTAATCAGAAATTCAAAACAGATTCAATTAGAGCAGATGTTATAAAACATGAACAAAAAGAAAGGCTAATTCACTGTGTTCTGCTACAATGCAGACAAGAGGATGGAGTAAGAAACCTGGTGTAAGCCTCTTTCAAGTCCAAAGTGAATTCCTCAAGAGGGAGTTTACTGAACTATAGCAATTAACACAGTCTAGTTCATCTTTTCTGTGATTTTGGAACATGCTTATTGTAGATGTTAAAACCATTATGAGAAAAATCTTTCTGAGCAGTCTGAGCCTCACCTCCACAATCTGATTAGAGATTTGTAAAAATAAAGAGGATTCAAGGAAAGAGTGAATGGCAATGAATTACGGAGCGTATCCCAAATTTAAGACTTTCTCCGCCGGTTTGACTTTATGCAGAAAATGCAGCCAGGCAGAACTAAAGCAAATTGGTTTAATTCCCTTGAGGAGAGAGAGGAACAAATTTTCCCAGCAACTTTCAGCTGCAAGCATGCGTGACTGCAAATGTGGATGGAGTGCACAATCAGTAATCTACAAACCAGCAATAAAATGAAACATTACCCTTTCCCTACAGCTTCAGCAGCACATGGGCACTGCCAATTAAAACACTAGGAGCAGGTGGAAAGGAAATGGCAAAATAAAACTAAATGAAGTAGAAGATTATTCGATACTTAAGTCTATAAATTCTCTTGGACTGAGTTTCTCTTCTTCATTTGTACATTCACAGAGGTGCCCTGGGCTGTAGTGGCTGCTGCAGGACAGAGGCTTTTCAGACTTTCAAAACCTGGAACAAGCGGTCAGCTCTTCAAGGAAAACCACTTCAGAAAAGGAAGCTGGACTTAACATCTAAAGTGCTTTCCCCTGAAACGTGCCAAAAGCCCTAAGCCTGTATTTAATTTTTAGCAGGAGGGTTAGTTCCAAGGAAATTAAAGCAGTGGCTCAAGAAGTGAAGCATGTGCTCCACCCCTCTGCTGAATTAGAGCTGCAGAAATAATTAGAAGCCTTCTAAAAAGGCCAAAATTAACAGGGAGAAAGTGCTAATTTTAGAGAAAACTATTAAACTATCATGATAAAAAAGCAGCTGCTTTAGAGTTTGGGAAAAGTTAAGAGTATTTCAAAGGAGCAGGGGAAGCTCATAAAAGCCCTGTCATAGTTCCATCAAAGACAAAACTGACTTCCCGGTCTTACCCTCAGACTTTCCAATGGGTAAGATAAAGGATTTAGACACATCTCAGTGTTTTACAGAGTTACTAATTTACTTTGCAAAGATGCTTCCTGAGAACAGAGTCCCATGAACTCTCAGCAAAATTGCACGGTATGACACAAACGAACGGCAAAGCAAAGCACAGAACTTTCCCCAGAAGTACACTCTGAGTCCTATCAATCCTCCACCCCTCCAAGCAATTTCCTACACACCTCAGAGTACCATCTCCTGAAAGGCCTGGCACGAGCAGTCAAACACAGACACTCTCCGGCTACCACAAAGTGCTGCGGCGATTTTTGCCTTGAGGTACCTGTGCAGAGGAGCCGGTCCTGGAAGTATCCCTTCCCACAGGAAGGCACACACTGCCCATTCTTCATCAGCAGGGATGCCCGGCACGAGGAGCACTCAAATCCATTGGTACAGGCTGAGCAGGTCTCATTGCAGGCTTCCAAGAGAAGGAGGAGAGAAGAAAGATGTATCAGTCCGGAATGTCCTGACGCAGCAAGACCCCCCCGTGCTCAGGTAAAATGAGATAATTTTGCCTCATTTTGGCAAAAGAGTTTGAGAATTTGCATTCTTCAGGGGGTCCCATCGGACACCTCCTGAAGTCTGATGGTTACGACTCAGCACGTGCCTGGGATGCTTTTCCAAGCGAAGCCTGGCAACCTCTTTGCAATGAACCCAAAGGATCCTCCGGGCAAAAGCAGGGCACGCAACAGAGCAGGGAGCGACGGGAGGGGCTCTGAGGCCTGGCAGGGATTACCTAAGCAGGTGCCCCCGTGCGGGTAGAAGCCCAGCTCGCACGTCTCCACACAGCGCCCGCTCTGCAGCCGCTTCCTCGAGTCCTGGCAGGCGTCACAGTGATCGGGGGCCTGCGAGCAGCTCACGCAGTCCGGGTGGCACCCACCTGGCACAGGGGAAAACCAGCAGCAGTGCCTGCAGTCAGGAGGGTGCGAAATAGCGCAACTCCAAACTCCGAGTGAAATTCACAGCTTGATTCCCTGGCTGGGGGCCAAGGTGTGTCAGTTTTGGAGGGGGATGTTTTTATACGTAAATACGAACATGTCACGCTAAATGTTTTAGTGCTCCATTTAACGTGTGAGAAGTTATTATAGGGACTCAGATTTTCTAGGCTATTAATTGAAAGGAGAGTCATTGTCCACACGGTTTCTCAGCAGTAAAAATCCTCAGTCATCGGGAATTAACAGGTCTGAAACAACCTGAATTTGAGTTTCCTTCAGTCAAACCCCGCAGCAGGCCAGGAGTGTGTCCATGCAAGGTCAGAGTACAGGTGGAACACCACCGCCCCTCCAGTTAAAACCTTGATGTCACAGCACCACAGAAGTACTTCCTGACCACAGGTACCTGGAGAGGTACAGAACGGCACAATTTTTGCCCTAAGTAGAAAAAAAATCCCCTGTGCTCCAAGCCAAAAGTTCTCAGTGGGAGGGACTATTTGCTGCACATCTCAGAGAAGCAGCAATCAATTTTTTGCTGGCTTTATGGGAGCAGATGTGGCAGGGGCTGATGTTCTGAGCTCACAGATTGAACTGCTGCAGGCTGTATTTTACATTTGTTTCTCAGCCCCTGCACTGCAAGACAGAAAAGCACAGAGGGAAAACAGCAGGCTTGGGTAAAGGAAATTGCCAGTCACCTTTTAGGACAAAAAAAGGGCAAGTTTTTGCAATTTCACTTGGCTCTGTATGTCCAATGCCATGACTTCAAAGCCTGGGTTTTCCAAAAATGATACCATGATGGGAGATAAATGACCAGATTTTCAAGAGTAACCAGTAGCCAGTGGCACTTCTTGATAAGGAGGAGAACACTGTATCATCTGTCCCCTCTCAAGCGGCCTGTGCAAGATGTTGTTCCCTTTCAAAAATCCAGGACAATTTCATCTGAACTATCCAAGCCCTGTTTTCCTCACTCTTCAATTTGTAGTGCTTTGCATTTTCATTAGCAGTAAATAACAAGCTTTAAAACATGAAGATGGCAAATGTGCCCAGGCACTCCAGCACAATTAAAATGTGAAGTTATTCTCCTTTTACTGAGATAAAACATTAACTGGAGCACTCTGATAAAAGCCAAAGTTATATGAATGCAACAAGAAGAGCCACCAACACAAAAAACTAGCAACCCACAGCTAAAGCCTCCCAACAGAGAAACGTAAATCCAGGGGAATGACAATACCCTGGAGAAAAAGGAATTTATATGCAAAATTACCATACAAGCTAAGGCTATCCTAATCTTTCCAAACAATTATTAACTGGCAGCCATTCAGCCTCAGGTGGGCTTGTGGCATAACAGCGCAAGCAGATTCTTTCTTCCTTTCCACTCCCAAGAAATAATCAGGAGCCCATAAACTCCATGTAAGGATTCAGAAAGGAGCAGCTGAAGAAAAAAGAAAAAGGCAAAACATTTCCAAAACACCAACCCCAGGGAGAAACTCCTTTGGCAGAAGAAAGCTGTGTTTAAACCGGGGGGAAGTCAGTGGGAGCCTTTGGCTGAGCCCCAAAGCTCTCTAAGAACTAAAAGCAGTTAATTAGCAACTGAAAAGCGGACAAGCTGAAATTCCAGGCAGGGTACTGAGGGAGCGAGGGCTGCAGGGATGGGTACTGGAGCTGTGTACCTGGCTGGCAGCGCAGACAGCAGTCCCCTTTCACCTCCTGAGCCAGGCTGCCCGGCGGGCAGGGCGGGCAGGAGCGCTGGAAGCAGGTCACCTCCCCTTCCCGGCACTCGCAGAGCCTGCACCGCCCTTCTTCCCACAGCTCTCCGTCCTGCACCAGAAACACCGCACGGGCATCAGGGGCCAGGGAAAGCCTTGGCCACGCATGGAAATCTCTGGGTGCAACACCACAGGGATGAAGGCGTGGACCAAAAAGAGACAACAAGCATTTTCAAAAGCCCTCATCTGTCAGAGCAATGAGAAGCCCAAGGTTCCTAATGTTTCCGTCCTCTCTAACTTTAGAGGAGAGTTCCTTGAACACATTAATAATGGCCTCCTGTGGCAGTAAAGATTATAATCAGTGGGATACACAGGCAGAAAGCCACACGTTGCCCCAGCTCTGTAGCTTCTACTTTACAGGATTAAAATCATACGTCTTTGACTCCGTGAAATGTGCAGGAAACTCATGAGTACAGATATTAAATATTAAAGAGAAATGATTGATTGCAGTGCACAAAGGAGAGCAAGAAAAACTGGAATTCTGCAGCAGATGCACACAAGTGTTTCTGTAAACTGCAAAAGCAATCTGCAGACAACATTATTGGATTATTTTTTCTGCTATACTTTCAAAAAACATCCTTGTCAGAAGTGGAACAGAATCCCTCCAAACCTTTATGCCCAGAACTCACTATTCCGTGCTCCCGAGTACCAGGATACTCACAGCTTTGGTATGCTCCTTGTAAACACAGTAACTATGACTGGAGATACATTCAGGACAGCACTTCCCTTCCAAGTGAACTAATTCTTCACCCTGGGAAGAGAACGGTTGCAGCAATTCAAACAGAACCAACATCGCCCAAAACACTGTGGAATGCAGAGGCAGAACAGCTCTTGCCCTGGAACGCAAACTCCAATATCTAATTTCACCTTATCTTCTTTCCATCCCACTTCATCTCTGTAGGTATAGCCTGAAAAATGTGCTTGGTGAACACTGCAGCTGCAGAACCAACCTCAGAAACGGTCACGGAATGCAGCGATAAAGCCATTACTTCATCCCTAAATCCCACAGAGAAAGATCCCCCCCCACACCTCCCTTTCCTGCGGATCACCAGGATTTTACTGGACCACTGTCAGGATTTCGATGCATAGAAGCTCACCTTCATTTTCAACGTTCTACTTTTTCCTCCCCCAAGAGAATTTCAAAGCACATGCTCCATTTATCCCGGATGGAAAAAGCCTGTTCTTTGTCACAACTCCACGGATTCCACTTAAATAACTTCAGTTTGAAGATAAGAATTTAGCAGCGGGAGAAAGGAATGAAGTGCCCCAATTCACCATATCTCTTTGTGCCCAAGTGGAAGCTGCACTATTTAGAAAAGAGGGGAAACTTTGTCCCTAGGGAACCAGGACACAGCTCAAGAGGAACAGCTTCAATTTCCAAGATTACCAAATAACTTTTTTTGATTTATGACAACTGGGAGGTTGTTCCAGCAGGAACAATTTTCCAGGACAATTTTCACTGTGCCACACTGGCACACTCAATTTTTGGAAGGGAATTAGATTCCTCAAGGGAGAACACCTAAGCCAGGCCACACTCTGGCACCTGCAGGGCATTCCTGAGGAGGGGAAGAGAGGAGAAACCATCTGGTTCTTAGTCACCGAGGACCACACACAGCCTGAACCTCTCTCTGCTGCCTCTACACATCTCTGCTCTTCAATCATTGCTCCAGAACGCCCTCGGCAGTGGTTGGATCTCACGTCACCACTCTGAACTGTAAACTCTCCCACCCCCCATCCCTGCCCACATCCCCACCCTCATGCACAAACACATGGCATAGGAAAACTGAGAGGAACTATCCATGGAACAAGAAAAGCTGCACAGAGATTCATCATATTCCAGGCTGAGAACACATATTCCTGGCTCCTAACCTGCTGAAAATGGCTTTTTGAGGATTAGGCCAGAATCACCCCAGACACTTTGTTGGACATGTTTGTTTGAAAAGGTTTGGAGCTCAATCTCTCCCACACCCTCCTTTCATGTCGAGCTGTCCAGGATTTGCAGTTCATATCTGTGGCCTCATTGCACTTTCAGTAGGATGATGTGACCAGAAAACTAATGGTGCCTTGATGAAGAGATGAATCCAAATGCTCCTGGCTTCACACCCGCTCTGATTTATTGAGGCAGGTGCCTAAAAAAAACAGATCTGCAACTCCAGAAGGAAAAAGCAAAGGAAAAAGAAAGCCTGGCATTTGCTTTCTGAGGAAAATATTTTCTTGTAATTAATTAATGCACACCTTGTACTACTGAGGTAAACTGAACATGACCTGAGGAGTTCTGAACCCTACACGTTACCATCTCCAGCTATTGTTCTGGAAAACATCCCTGGTTTTCCTGAGTAATGGGGTTTTTTGTCAGTACCCAAGATGTGAGCATGAATATTAACTAACCCTCCCCACTGAGCCATGACAGCACGCCATCATCATTAGTGTAAATGATCCAATTTACAGCCAGGAGCATGCAGGAGCCTCACTCAAACAGCTGCAAGTGCACACGATTTTATGCCAACCACGACTTCTCACCCAGCAAAATCCCTCCGTGCAGGTTGAGGTCAGGGGATCAGCAGCAGGGAGGACTTTGGGCGCCAGACTCTGCATTTTGGCTGTTTCAAAGGCAATGGATTGGGCTGGAACGGACCTTAAAGATCATTCACTTCCACCCCCCGACACCTTCCACTATCCCAGGTTGCTCCAGGCCCTGTCCAAACTGTCCTTGGACACTTTCACGGATGGGGCAGCCACAGCTTCTCTGGCAACCTGTGCCAGGGCCTCAGAGGGAAGGATTTATTCCTAATATCCAGTCTAAACCTATGGTCAGTTTGAAGCCATCCTGCCACTACACGTCCTTGTAAATAGTCTCTCTCCATCTTCTTTGTGGGCTTCCATGAGGTATTGGAAGGCCACAATTCGGTCACCCCAAACCCTTCTCTTCCCTGGGCTGAACAATTCCAATTCTCTCAGATTTTGCAGAGACCACTGCAAAAAAAAAAAAAAAAAGGCAATTCAAAACTTATCTGTCCATGTGTGGGTGAAGCATTCAAGCCTATCTAATGCATTTTCCACATCCACTGCAGAGCAAATATAACCTGGCTGGGGGGATATGAGATTTGGAGTAAACAGCACTGGGACTAAAACACCTTGCCAGCTTCACTTCCATACCAAGAATGTCATGGGGAAAAAGAGGAGAAAAGTAGAACATCGATTTCCATATTCAAATACCTCACTGAGGGCCACTGTAGCGTAGAGAATGAAGAGATAAAAGGAACATTTCTTAAGCTTTTAACTGCCTCTGACCTGTACGCTTCTCCCCATGTTCAGGTCCCGGTAAATGCACTGAGTGCTCTGGGGTGTCTGACCCTCCACTACAGCACAGCACAGCACAGCACAGCACAGCACAGCACAGCACAGCACAGCACAGAGGGGAGTCCAAGTGAAGTTTCCCCCTGATTCACACTGCTTTGCCTCACAGTGCAAGCCCGCTGTGCAAATCCACATGGAAAACCCCAAGCGTGCTCTCCTGCCCTGGGAAATGTTTTCAAGGCAGCTGCACTAAACAAGCCCTGAGAGAAGGGCCGGTTCTCGGAGCACCTCAAATTGAGATTAAAGAGAAAGGGAGGTGGGAAAAAAGAAACCATTTGAAGTCTTGACAGACACACCCGGGGAGAAGAAACGCCTTTCTCACCTTGGCACACTCCACTTTGGCGCACTCTGCCCCCCGGCAGGTGACCTGCCCGGCCTCGCACACGCAGAAGTCGCAGCGGCTGCTGTTCCACATGTCCCCGTGGTACCTGAGGGTGCCACCGTGCAAGCAGCTCCCCCGGGAGGGCACGCACTCCTCGCAGCACTTTCCGGCACGCTGCGCTCTGCCCTGCCCCTGTGGAACAGCAGCAGGCAGTGAGCAGGACTGGCTGAGCCCCTGGGCACCAGCACAGCGGGGTGTGCAGCCAAGGGGGCGGAGGTTGGGGGATGTCGCTACCTTCTCACAGGTAACAGGGCCACAGGTCTCCCTCACACATCTCACTTCCCCTCTGTCACACGCACACGCGGTGCAGGCGTTTTTTTTCCACTGTTCCCCATGCTGTTCAAAAAGAACATGGGGAGAATTGTTAAACACTCCTGGAAAATAGCCAAATTACTTCTGGTAACCTGCTTATGACGTCTCCTTCTGTATGTCTGTATCAGATAGCAAACTTTGCTTTAAAAATGCTTATCTCTGTATCATCAGCAAACAGGAAGAGGAGGGCTGAGGTCCAGAGGACGTTGCGGTGTGGATTTCTCATTAGTTGCAAACTAGTGGCACTGGGGAGGCCTTAACTGCTGCTATTAGCAAAAAATAATCTTTAACACAAAATCCCACATACGTACACTCATTAAATAATGCATTAAATTAATTCCAGACGATACAATGAAAGCTATAAATACTTTTGGCCACTGGTGCTTTTTGCTTTCCTCCTTCAGAAACTGGGGAAAGCTCATGTGCTTCATCTCGCAAAATTCCTTTCCGCTGGCCAGCAAATTCTTATCTAGTCCTGATTTCTGCCAACCCTCCTGGCTTTCCAGGAAGGAAAAAAGCAATGGTTGTACTATCAGCGCTGGCAGAAAGTCAGATGTCAAGGAGCAGGGAAAGAGAGATGTGCCAAAAACTGTGAGCAACTGCCTTTTGGTGTGGTTTGTCACAAGTCACCTGGAACGTTCTTCCCGACACGGAGCACGGCTTTGGAGCACATTCTGGGCAGCACTTTCCAGGAGGCAGAACCACAACTTCATCCTAAACAGAAAGCACAGACAAGGAAAATAAGAGCATGACCGGTTAACGTGGGGGTCACCATCAGTGCTTGGAACTCCAGGCATTTAGTGGCCACGGAATAACCCACTGTCACTCCAGGCTCCGTTTTGGCCCCAAAAGCAGCATGAGATCCGTGCAGTTCCCTCATCTCATTTTCTGGGCTTATTTGGATGGCAACTGAACACATGGACAGATGCAGATTAAGACACCCACACAAGATAAAGTGCTTATATTCAGGCATACAAATATACTGAGGGAAAAATATACATAAAGCTATGCAGGGAAGCACAATAAAGCAGGAGATGGATGAGAGGGGTTTTTTTCCTGGTATTGCCACATTTTGAGGTTTTGAATGCGTGATTTACACCCACCACCCCTCAGGCATCTGCACTGTTTTAGTTAAATCCATCCATACTGTCTGTACAGGTGTTAAATTATGCTAAAAAAATGGATTTTCCCAATTTAAACTTTTTTTATGACTGGTTTAAATCACGCTGGGATAGACTGGCACTTCCCATCAGTATGCAGGCCTCAACTCCATCCATCCAAAATGTGTCTGTAACTCCATTGCTACAAACCCACGTACACCCAACACCAGTTTGGAACAGCCCTGCTCACCAGCACCTCCCTCCAGCCACACCAGGACGATGGGAACACTGACTGGTGGACTGGAATTAGTGTGGAAATGTCCCTTCCACTGGGAAATGTCCTTGGTAGGAAATATCTGAAACGCCACCAGAACTGGCTCTCTGCTGCATTAACTTGGATGTCCTCAGCCAACTACTCTCTCAAAACACACCACAGCAACAACAGAGTTGTTCCTGTTCCCACAAATTAAATCCTAATGATTGGCTGATTAAACATTAGTGCAGTGGCACAGCAGGCAACACCAGTCCACTTGGAGTGGGAAAGGAGGAATATGAAGCAGGCATGAAGTTGTTTTAATGCAGACCGCTTAGCAAATGAATACTATTTGAGTATCTCAGGACAAAGCAAAACACAATTAGCACACAAACAAACAGGTGGGTTTTCCTTCTATCCAAAAAAAAAGTGTTAATTGCTCAAACATCTGGCCCAGTAACAGAAATCTGGGAAAGACATCACTGCCACTGATCAAATATCCCTTTTCCAAATCGCCCACTTGTCACCCAGAAGCTCTGCATGGAAAAGGAGGGTGCTGAGGGGTGTCCCCAAAGGCTGGTGGCTCCTGACCTGGCTGCACAGCAGGGGCTGGCAGGCAGCTGTGGAGCACTGAGTGGTGCCATCCCTGCAGACACATCTGGAGCAGCGGCCATGGCGCCAGCCCTCCCCGTCCTGGAACACGCGGCCATCAAAGGAACAAGGCTCTAAGAGACAGGAAAACAAGGGGAAATTTTCTTTGCCAAAGCCCTTTAATCCCTTTCCATCACCCGCAATTAAACCCCAAAATCTTGTTTGTCAAAGCAGGCAAAGACAGTAACAATTCCACCAGTTTCCAAGGGCTTTAGACTTGTGAATTAAAGGCCTGGAATGCACTCCTCCCACTGGACTTCCATGACAAAAGGTATCCATACCTCTAGCACTTTTGGAACTTGCAGTCCAGGTGCATAGGAAATATCTGCATCTTTTTTCCCCAATCTTTTTAATCTCCAAAACAAGGACCCATTAGACACCTCTGTTCACTGCTTAAAGCTTATCCCCTCCCGTGGGTGACGCCGTTAAAAATGTGAATGTGGCAGCGGGACAGAAAGGGAATTAAGAGACAGGTCGGTGTCTTCCCAATAAAAGTGAAAAAAGAATAGAAAAGCTTTCTAGCTTTAGGCCTAGAAGGTTGTTTCCAGTTGGGATCAGTGGATCCATTCCCACGCAGTACTCACCGCCACGACCCACGCACTTGGGGCAGCAGGACCCCGGGGGCGTGTCCTGCAGCTGCCCTGCTCCACAGGTGAGGGCAGGGCAGGTCCTGGGGGCGCAGCTCACCTTCCCGTGGGCACAGGAGCACTGGACACATCCTGAGCTGGCCCACTGCGTGCCATGCTGCAGCACAGGAAACACAGTGAGACCTGGGAACAGACCTTCCCTCCCTTGGCAAGCCCCCCTAAATCAGCTTTGACTTCCCAATGAAACTCCCAGGCTGTTGGATGCAGCCCCTCTCCACTACAGCTTCTGTAGGGCCAGCTCGAAATTTAGAGACCTGTTTTCTTCAGAGAAATAGTCCATTATAGGCCCCAACATGCACCTGACCACAAGGTGGGCAGATGAACACCCTCCACCCCACGTTCCTAACACACCGCACTGTGAGTCAGATCTAATTAGATTTGCTTACTCATTACTGCAGGAACAAATACCTCTGCCCTGAGGTATGGGGAGGAAAATCTGGCCCCAAGAAGAAACAAGTTGGTGTGTTGCAACACTTTCCAACAAAGAGAGAATGTTAATTTCTACAAAAGATAGCAATACTGAACTAGGCAGGGAGCAAACAAGCTCCTTCCAGACACAGGATACATATTTTCCTCACTAGGGCCAGTGTTGGCAGACAGATGCTTGCAGAATGAGGGTCAGGTCCTGAAGGATGACACTGGCTGGCTGACAGCAGGGGAAAGTTCTGGGCTGCCTATCAGGATGAGACTTTGCACTGACAAAAAGTTGCTTTATGACCAGTTGGCAGGGAAATAGGACTACATCCCTGTGGGGATGCCGACCCAAAGAATGGGCTCACAGAGACCCAAGGACAAAAGCAAGAGAGCACGGGAAAACCCAGCAACTGCACAAAGGAGAAGAAATATAATGCAATAGGATATAACTTAGTATCACCCAAACCACAGGCACAAAGAAGGGGATGGATGTGCTACCCTTCCATTCCAGTTTTTGTCCAGCTTGTAACAGATTCATGTTGGTCATGCCTCAAGCTGAAACAGAGGATTAAACCTTCCAGCTCAAGTGCAGAGCGTACAGTCCAGATATTCAAATGTGCCTGGGAATTTTAGCATATTTCTTGAGATTTGGGCCCGACGTGCCTCTTGTCAAACAGAGAAGGCTGTAAGAGCCCAGAGGTAGGACTTGGGTTCGCTGTTCAGCCATTTTTCCACATTTGCCTAATGCTTGACATGATTCATTAACTGCTACCCATGAATCTTTATTTTTTTCCTTATCTGCAGACACTTACTCTGATTGTTTTGGCCTTTCAGCCCCCTCTGGGTGAAACCACATCCCGGAACCTGCCTCTTGAATAATTCAGGATGACAAAACACGGAGGCCAGGTGGCACAACCGCAATCAATCTCTAGAGCAGAGATGGCTGCTCAGAGAAAAGCCTTCCTTCAGGACAGCTAATACGTCACGTTCACCGTGCTCTGCTCCCCCCCTAATGCTACTGTGTTGTCTCAGTCACCCACAGAAGCAGTAAAGGGAAGGAACAGGTGGGAAAACTCCCCTCAAGCCACACAGGACACACGATTGCTCAGCGACACATTCCCCTTCTGCAAACCCTGCTGACCAAACTCCTGCTAAATTCCATTATCTGACAGTGACCCTACCCTTCCCCTGCTCAGCATCCTTCCCTGACTGCACCCAACAGAGCCAAACACAGGTAAGGTCTGTCCCTGCTGAGGAACAGGACGGGGCACTCACGCTGTGGATCTGTCCTTCGTGCTGGCAAAATCCCTCGGCTCGGGAGGCACACTCGGGGCAGCACTTGTTGGAGGCTATTTGGAGCACTTCTCCCTGAAAAGACACAAGATCCAAAAAACGCGTGACACCAAGCAGAGACCTTATCATGAAGGTAAAGCACCGTGGCCCTGGTGTTCCCAGTTTGAAAAGGAAAAGTTAAATATGTAACGCTGCTACGCCACATGCCTTTGCTGAGAGGTGACACGCCACCGTGTATTTGCCATTGTTCTCTCCAAACAACAGAAGAATTTACATCCCTAACAGTAAAATCAGGAAATCTCAAACTGTGATCTCGCCCTGGAGAATCCTGTCTTGGTTGCTGGTTTGTTTTGGCTCACACCACTAAACTGATGTTTGTTGATTTTCCACCTACCAAAAACATCCTGTAGACACAGCAGTAGGTCTCACACACAAATGTTTAGATGGCTGAGGCTGCCTGGGTTTGTTTATGCCTTGTTGCTGTAACAAGATCAGCAATATTTGCAAAAATCTTAAATAAATGGAGAGGGGTGGTGATTTCTGACCTTGCTCAGCAGTGGGGGGTTTAGCCTTGAGGAATGACCAGGCTTTTTTCTTCTGAGATCCTTGGTGATCCTTCTTTTCAGTGTTTAAGTGACCAGATGTTTACTGAACACTTAAACTGTTTGTCTTGAAGACTGTCCATGTCAAGGAGTCACACAGATCCACTTCTCACTATAAATCTATTTCCCTTTATGAGCTTTAAAGTTGCCATCTTTTCATTTATCTAATTTTTATCATCTTGTCCAGCACACTCATTATTAGGTGTGCCACGACAGAGCTCTTTTAATTTCTCTCCTCTTTACCACAAAAATTCCTAATATTTCAGTCTTGCTTTAATCAATACACAGTGATAATAACAGGGAAAACCGGTAAGAATCAAAATTATTTCCTCATTAGTGCTGTCACACTGGAAAACACTTTAACCTGCTTCCCAAAGCCACGTAATTATATTGGCAGTGCTTCTTTAAAACTCTCATTTTCGTTGTCATTTACGCACCCTGCCCCAGTAATCCAGATGTTACTGCAAGACCGATTCCATGGCCAATTAACGAAGGCCCAGACAAAGACAACCAGGAGACAACGAAAGCTCGGCAAGCATCACGAGGAGGAAGAAGCTGCAAGACAGACAATCTCAGCTCTGTTGTTGCTCAGCAGAGTGGAAAGTGCCCATCTGCATCTTTGAGGGAGCCCCAGCTCCACCTTCAAACGAAGGGGGACTGGATGCTGGGCTCCTGCTGGGAGGTTTGAACCCAATTCAGGGGCTTGCTCTGGGATCAATCTGCTCCAACACCAGGCCTCCGGCTGGAGAGCGGTGAAGGAGACAAAGGCTTCCCACACCAAGTGTTTCTTGTACCGATAAGGAGTGAAAGGGCACAGAGCCTGTGCCTGACCTCGGGTAGCCACACGCACTTGTTGCAGTCCTCCCTTACCTTCTGGAAGTCACACTGAGGGGGCTTGCACACCGTGGGCTCACAGGTGACAACGCTGCTCCGGCAGCGGCAGTCCTGGCAGGAATCCGGCTTCCACACCGTGTTATTCTGCAAACAGGCAAGAGCTGCGAGTGAGACCCACACAGCACAAGGCCTGTGCTGCTTCACACAGCAGCAAAGGGCTCAAATAGCTCGATGCAAACAGAGTGGAACAGAGCAGCCCTCCCTCCCACAGCCTTGTCAGGCCCAACTTTGGCACCGTTCACAACCTCAAACACGCAGCTGAAAGACAAGGCCGTGCCCGGCAAATAATCTGCTCCGATGGCAAGCCAGTCCATAGGACACAACCTCCTGCAACCTCCAGGGGATCAGAGCATCTCTGGGAAACTTCTCTGTAATGGAGTTCAGAGTCTCTGGGCTGCAGCTCCTGCGTGGACACAGGTTGTGCTGAGGCAGAGGAGCCCACTCCCGGACACGTGGCCAGGGAGGAACAGGCCCGACCGGGGCACTTTTATTCCAAAACACCCTCAAGGACACTCGGGCCAAGCAGACAGTCCAACAGATGTGGAGATAGCTGTCACCACCACTTGATCAGTGCACCCAGCTGGAACACCCACAGCTAATTCACAGGGGTTTTCACCACCCGTGCCTGACCCTTTCCCATTCCCTCCATGCTGAGGTCATGATCCCACGCTGCCATCAAAAGAAAACGGGAAGAGGAAGATCACTTTCTCATCCGAAAAACTCTTTTCCATCAGACAATCCCTGTGTGCACGCTGGGCTAAACTCACACCACACTGACAGCCCCTATCTGAGCCACTGAGCCTCGCTTTTAACGGATTTGCACGTAGGCCAGACATTGCTACTCATTCCCATGATGTACGTTCCGTGATTTACTCCAGTAAGTCAATTTACCCACAGCGTAAAGCACGACTTAGGCAAATTAAGACATGGGAAGGTGATTAACAGTGGACTACTATGAGCACTTTTAGAGCCAACCACTAAAACTGTTAAGCATAATGATAAAATACTGAAATGCGCCTTAAAGGCCCATTAACGTTGCTTAATGAGAGAAAAAAATCCTGAAAGACCTGGCCACTTGCTCAGGCACTTCCACAGAAGCCGCCAGGTGCTGGATCAAGAGTAAAAGTCTGCAAACACTGAGAACTCTGGAAATATTGCTCAAAAATCCTTGTGTCTCTTCCCAGCTCTACAAAAGCACTTCTTCCCCCTCAAGCTGTGCTCCTTCCTCCCGTGAAGGTCGTGCAGAGGCTACAAACACGCTGCAGCATCAGAAATTCAGGGGGATTCCCTGTTAAGGGAATGATGGGAGCAACACTGACCTTGGACAGGGTCCAGCCCTTTGGGACAGGACACCAACAGGACAAAGAGGGATGGTAATTCCTGCCCCGGAACACAGCTGGCTCTCCTCTTGCTTACACAGGGCTGCAGAACACAAACCTCTGCCAGCAGATTTACGGTGCAGTTAGAGAAGAAATTAAGGTTAAGTTATGTGTGTGCCAAGCTTTAGCTAAAACACACACCGGAGTTAACTCATCCTGCTGGCTTTAGCAGCAGCCTGTGTTTCAAAACTGGCAGCTCCCTGCAGGGGAACCAGGAGTGGGAAGGGAAAGGGCAGATTTAGTGCCTCATCTCTTGGCTCTCCTAAACCTTCACCCGTGGCCAGTCTCACTTATTAAAAAATAAACCCCAAAATAATTTCCACAGTGGGATAACGGCCAAAGGACTCACCTGGCACAAGGTGAGCACACAGCCATCCTTACCCACATTTTGAGAGTTAAATGCTCAGGTTCCTGGTAAGAAAACCCTCTCTTTGGTCTTCTCCCTGCGGGCTCAGATCACCTGCTTTTAAATCCATGTGGTAGTCACTTGGAAGCATTTACACACGTCACTGAACTCCCTTTGCCAGGTACCAGCTCAAAACTGACACTGCTCTGCAGAGTTTTAAAAAATCAGAATCCAGTTAATAGTCAGGAAGCTACTACCTGATTTTTTTGGGATATGAGAGTCTCCCCCACAGTTCTTGGGTCTCAGTGTCCAGGTTTCTGGACAGTTCAACATTTACCTCAAGATTCCTTGCAACAGACCTAAACTCCAGTTTGGAAAGTCCAGATCCCACTCACCTGTCCTGCATGTTGTGAGGCTTTCTTAGTCCTCACCCAGCACTTACAAGGATGCTTTAAAAAGCTCCCAGGTAAGACTGTTTTAAACATGAAGCAAGACTTTTCAGTAGACACTTAAAGAACTGCTGGAAATCCACCTGGCATCTTCTCCAAGGCCCTGTACCCCTCAGTGGACAAATTATCTGCTGCCATTTAAGCACTGAATTATGATCCCGTCGAAAGTGTATTTTTACCAATAACAATTTAAGGGGCTTTTTCCTTACAAGTACTAATATAATTAACAGTATAAATAATGAAATACTGTGCACTTTGAAGACAGAAAGCACTCCTTAAGAGCCAAGTAGTGCCATTATAATTTATTAATTCCTTGAATTTTCCTACATCAAAAGAAGAAATGATACCTAATTTGGCTGAATATTAAAACACCAAAATCAGGATTTAGAAAACTGCAGGAGAGCTGCACATTGAGAAAATAATATGAAAAGGAGGCAAGAGCACAACCAGCAGTAAAAGCAAAGGAGAGTTGAAGCAAAGAATAAGCTAAAGAGACAAAGAGCAGACCTGGCACAGAGGGAGCCCAGAGCAGCTGTGAGAGCTCGTGTTTGGCTGCTGTCACGCTGTCATATTAACCAGAGCACACAAACACCTAAATCTTCACTGGCTCTCATAACTTCAGACAGCTGCACCTGTTCCTCCTCTACCTCAGCAAAAAAAAAAAAAAAAAAAAAAAAAAAAAAAAAAAAAAAAAAAAAAAAAAAAAAAAAAAAAAAAAAAGAAACCCACCCAACAAATCAAAAATAATCAGAGTCTGCTATTAATATGCAAAACGCCTCAGTAATTTAATCAGATGCTGCTTAACGTGGGGTCTCACCACGCCAGATAACAGTCTGTGTGCTATTCTGGTGCGGTGACTGGGGAAATAAGAAGCATACAACAGCTGCTTTGTGTCCCCTTTCCAGCTCCCTGAAAATATCCACTCAGTCCCTAAAATGTCACTGAGTGCCAGAGTGCTTGGTGGTGCCCAGAGACAGGATGAGGAGCAATGGTCATAAACTAAAACACAAGAAATTCCACCTCAACATGAGGAAGAACTTCTTTCCATGAGGGTGGCAGAGCACAGGAACAGCTGCCCAGGGTGGGCATGGAGACCTTTCAAACTCACCTGGATGTGTCCCTGTGTCACCTGCTCCGGGTGACCCTGTCTTGGCAGGGGATGGGTGATCTCAGAGCTCCCTTCCAAGCCCAACTATTCTGGGATTCTGTGGTTAACTGTCCAAGGGGCTGCTCTGCTGTGTGAGGGTGGCACTCTGCTCTGGGGACTGGGGAGGTCCCAGGAGAGCACCAGGTCACACTTACCTCCCAGGTCATCCTGCGCCCGAGACAACCGAGGAAAGGCAGGGATGGGGGTGAGGAAAGGCAGGGATTGCGTGCCAGGCTGCTCCGTTGAAATGGCAGGCAGAGCCCCGAGCAATTACACTTTTGGTAACAATTACCAGCATCACCCAGCGGCTGCCAAGAGAGGAGCCTTGGCAGCGCCGCAGCCCCGCTCACGTTTCTCATTTCCACTCCAATTACCTGACAAAAGCAGGCAATCGGCAGGGTAATCCCGAACCGGAGGGAAGCCGGGAGAGCGCTCAGGGTCTGTGGGGACACCCATTAATGGAGCAGTGAAGAGGTGAAAGCAATTCAGAGCCACATAAAGGGCTCCTCGTGTCCGTTCGGGTTTGGGTTGGATGTTTTATGTCTGCCAATGGGGAGCTGTTCCCCGGCCGAGGATGTTTGAAGATCTGATTTTTGCTGGCATATAATAGAAACTCGTGACAATGGGCTTTTAATGGGCTTATTCCAGCAGGCCCCAAGCAGAACAACACAGGAACGACTCAGGCTTGCAAATGAGAAATTCAGCTCCTCTCAGTGGAAACAGCTTTAGCCCTACACTCCTAGGAGAGAACTGAGCAGTTCAGGCAGAGTGTGGGGCTCAATTAACAACCCAGGAACAGGAACTGGGAGCTGGTTTTCTCCATCTTCCAACCAAGGGATTAAAAAGTTACACAAATTAAAACAAGGTACTGTTTTCATGGTTCGCTACTCTGCTGATTTTCTACACTTCTTAATTGTCAAATCTTCCACCAGTTGCACCAGCCTTGTAAAAACCAGGAGTCTAAAAATAACATTCCCCAGAGGTCCTAAGCTATCACAGGGGTGAGAAAGCTATGATTTTCCAATCTATTCTTCAAATACTTAGATGCTACTGTAAACTTTATCCCAGAAAAAAAACCTTTGGGGTCCTCCTGCTGGTTTTTCCCTCTTTATTCAATATTCTCCCTTTACTAAAGTATTTCCTAACGTGCCACGCGGCAAAATTCAAACATCTCCCCCAAAATGACTTGTGAATGGATATCAAAACCTGAATGGGTACCAAACTTTTATCCCCTTTCTAACAAAACCCCCCACGAGACCACGAAAATCATTGCAGCTCAGCCAGCTGAGTCAGCAGGGAAAGGGAATACCCTTCAGTAGCAGTCACAAGCCCTCAGAAACACTGCACGGGGTGAAACCTAACTTTTAGTCTACTTCTTGAAGGCAGCAATCCACTCTAGAGCAATTCTGCAAGCCACTTCAGCAAATATCCAGGTATCTCCAATTCCAGCTGGATATTTAGGAGCTCTCCTTTCAAAGCAAGGAACTACACACCCCAAATCCTACCATTGTCACTGTGGATCCAAGCGCAGTAATCTCCCATACAGCTCCCAGAAAATACAACCCTTTGTGTCCTTATCTTCCATCTCAGCTCCCTGTGCAGCAGATTAATAATAAACTGGTTCTCTCTTTCCCTAAAAAGGGAAAGGGGATCCCTGCACAGTCATTAATCTTGGTGAACAAAGACTATATAACTGAACAGAAATAATGAGGAAAAGCCTGCAGAATAAGGAATTTTCCAGACTGCCTTCATTTCCTGTCTTT